ATTTTTGTTTTCGTAGTGATAAAAAAATATTAAAAAATCATTTTGAGGTCTAGTTGTGTGCTCAAATAAATATAGTAGCTTATTTTATTCTTATTTTGTCTTTGAGCTACCACACTACTAATTACATTCTCTTTATACAAATAGACTTACTTTCTGTAAGGAAGTTGAAAATAAAAAACCTAAAAATAAACCCTAATAATATAAATATAGTGAAGAAGCAAATTAGAACATTACAATGTAATCAAGGGCCATGTAGATGTTTAAATATCTTTGTAATGTGAAACTCTAGTTTACATTTTGTATGCAATTTACTCAATATTTAGGGGTTGTTCTTACTAGAAGAGTTGAGTCATTTTCTTGAATAATAAATTGATTTGAGTCTTTCCATATTAGATGAGTCAGCTCACTTCCAACAAGAGGGTAAATAGAGAAAACATACACACTAAAATGGGTAAGAAGTTTTGTCATAAGTTTAGAATTTAATGTTGCATAAATGGAATTACTATTTTGCCTTTATACCATGTACCTAAAACTCACAAGTTCTCCCTTCTTGAAAACAAAAAAGAAACATAATCGGCCTTGCAATCAATCTTGATATTTCAAGTGACTTTTCTAAAGGTTACAAAAAAATTCAAATTTTTTATAAACCCCCAATATAATTGTAGTAACCTAAAAGTACTATTTTACCCCTTTATGGACATTGTCAATATGAAAAGTGCTAAAGCTCCATAAGCCAACATAAATGGTAATAGTCCCTTAAAATTTTTATGAGATGTACAAACATCCATGTAGCACTAAGATTGACATCAAGATCAAGATATAGTCTCTTTGATACAATTTGAGATTATGTCAAAAGATCATTAACACATATATGATACTATTTAGTTACTATATTTGAATCACAAGGAACAATCATTTAAAGAAAGATAAGATGGGAAAGGTTGAATGCAATGCACCAAAAAACCAAACCAAGCTTATGAAGACATCTCATAATGAGGACTCTCTCTCTCTCTCTCCTCTCTCCTCTCTCTACATTCACTAAGAAGGAAAAGATCAGTTCCTATTTAGACTATTCATACATAATTTGATCTTTACATGATTTATTATAAATGAAGAAACTTCTAAAAGTAATTGGAAGTAAACATTGACATGTAAGGTAATTATTATTTATTATATAAATATAGTCACACACATTAATAATCCTCAATATTGGGTTAAGGGCATGTTTTAGAAAACCAGTAAGAATGGGAAAAAAGGTTTGAATGATCAAACACACAACACTTTTCTCAAGTTGTGTGAAAAAGGTGAGGGGCATCCTTCAATTTGGCAATTTTTACAGACCTAAACCTAATAAATATTATTTATATATGAAAATATTAGTTTAAAGTCTCAAACAAAATATCTAAGGGTGTGGATTGAGTTATGGGGTGTATTTAGTAAATTAAAAAGATTTCAAAACATAAGGGGTAATTATTATCTTATTAATGTTCTCCATTCTATTAGGTGAGAGGAATCATGGAGAGTGTGAGGGATGGTGGAGTGGGGAGCTTTGGCTTGGAGAGGGGTTCTTGAGAGGGTGAAGGACGATTATGAGTTTTTCTCTCCTCTTTCTCTCTCTTACACTAATCAAGAAGCACACACAGCCTCTCTCTCTCCCATTGATGCGCTGTATTTGTTCATACAGCTCTCGCACTCCCATTGATTCTCTGCGTGTTTTCCCCTCTCTCTCTGCGTCTCCCTCTCTCTCTCTACCCGTGGAGGTACACATGCTCGCGCTCTCTTTCTAACCCACACGCACGCAAACGCACTCCTCTCTCTCTCTCTCTCTACCCGTGGAGGTACACATGCTCTCACTCTCTCACTAACTTGCAAGCGTCGTGTACACTGCATCCCTCTCTCTCCCGCATGGACACATTCTCTCTCTTCATCTTTCTAATTCACATGCACGCCCACACAACTCACCGTCTCTCTCTAGGTGAAGCTGGGGTTGCATCTGCATGCCGCCGGGCCCCTCAGCGGATGACACGTATCACACTATAAGTGTCGTATGATGCATTCCTAGAAGGCTTTAAACCTGCCCATTTGCCAAATATAATTGCTTAAAGTTTCTCATGCACATTCTCGAGCACAAATAAAATAATATAATATTATAGTGGCAAAGTACAATTCTGAATATAAAAGGGGTATCAACGGAGAAGATCCCACCTCGCCTCCACCGAAGGAGTCCCGTCACCAGTCCCTTTTTCAGGCACTTCCTAAGAGACTGCGGGTCCCACCACTGGGGAAAGAGAGGTCACCCCCGACAGTAAAAGCCAGCTTTTGGGACTTGAGGATTCCTCCCCCACCCCTCCAAACGGATTGGCCGCCTGCTAAAAGCGATTCTGATATTTGGTTTCTATATACAGGTGGGTCGGGTCACCTTCCCTCCCCCACTAACTTGGAGTTACGAACGCCGTTCGTTTATGGTGGAAGGGGGGAGGGGGGGAGGGCTCAAATAGTTCCACGTGGGCTCAAAGCCCAACCCAGCAGGGCCCAATATTCCTTGGCCCTCACAATTACAAAGAAGAACAGGCCCATCTCTCACTCTCTCACTCTCTCTCTGCACATGCATAATGACTCAAGTCTAGAATGACCAAATCCACATCCCCTACTCATCTAACAAATCAAAGGAAAACCACAACAAGGAGAGAGAAAGAGAGGTGAGAGAGAGAGAGAGAGAGAGAGAGAGAGAGAGAGGAAGGAGAATGGAGGCCTTTTCACTATGGGGCATACTTGTTTATGTATATATGTACACGTAGATGGGGGGCTTTGTGAAAGAGCATGATAGATTATCGATTGGGCCCATGAATAATATACATACATCCTTTGCAAAAGGGAGCATTCATCGAGTGCATCATTGAATCTTGAGAGCATAGTTTATGACCATCATACTTGGTCTCTAAGCTACTACAACTTTGGAATATTCCAAAAGTAAGAATCTCTAATCAAAATAATATCCTGGGGGTAAAAAAATTGTACACGTGTCACCACATGGGGTCCTCAGAGGACTTCACAGCTTTAATCTTACTTTGGAGAGAGATGAATTATAATACCTAAAGTAATCTACTTTTGCTAATTAAAGAACAAAAATAATCAGGTGATCATGACCCCCTAAACATTGGTGAGGGGCAGACTGCTTCCATGTGTCGAGCTCATGAGCATCCACGTGGCTTGTAATAGTTATAGACTAACCCAGATGGCTCAAAAGAAACCTGGTGGGACCCACCACCATGCATCATGAGCAAACATGTTTCTTGGCCAGATTAAGGTAGAGACTTAGAATGACTGATTATAGGGGGAAATGAAGAACATATTCATGATTAGTAGTCAACCCCTAGTGGGACGGTGGGGCCTCCTAGAAGTGGTCAACCCCCTCCTCTTAAGGGCAGCCGCCAATGGGTTTCTTGGTAAATTAGAGGTGAAATTATGGGGAAGAAATGATGGTGTTGGGACAAAGTTCCTCCAAAGTGGGTCAATTATTTGTCGATTTTCAGTGCAAAATTCACCCAATAATTCAATGTTCATTTATCCGGCGATTCACATCCTTTGTCTGGATCTGCCATTCACCAATCAGCTGTCCCCACGTGGTGCGTCAGAAGAAGCCCACGTTTCCCCAGGGATTGAGATGGGTGAAAACAGGCCGTTAAGAAATATATGGTCGTCCGAATCGACAGGAATAGCAGAAGCGTGTAGGAGACTCATTCTCGGTATCTTCACCGCAGAGTGCGCCGCCATCCAGCGGTGCGGAACAGATTTTAGTCAACAGTTGACTTTATACCTTTTCATTGTTTATTGATTTTCCCTCTTTCTATATCTCCCATAAACATATTTGTTATCGTGAAATAACCCTATATCATCTTTATTTTCTAATATACTCAGTAACGATGGGATCTTGCAAGGAAAAAAGCCCTGGAAGAGCTATCTTGCGAGAAAAACGCGACATAAACCTACATGATATTTAGTTTTATAAGTAACCGTTAAATCGTGAAATAACCGTAAATAATATTTATTTATGTGAATACTCAATAGCCCTGGAGAGTTTTCTTACGAGAGAAACGTGAAATAACCCTATGTAAAATTTATTTCCATATATACTCACTATGTTGGGTCGCTGGAAGAATAGAGCCCAACAGGAGTTTTCTCGTGAAATAACCCCATATAATATTTATTTTTCCAAGTACTCAGTAAGGTTGGAGAGTTGAAAATCCTAGTTTGTGGGAAAGCTTGAGGGGGGGGGGGAGGTGAATATTCCACGCTTTTGGAGTTTTTTAATATTTTCCAGGCCTCTCCACCTCCATGTTCCCTCCTCCTCTGCCACTCCCGCGTCTTCTTCAAGCTTTTTGCGTTGCGGCACCTTACAGGCGATCGATCCTCTTTCTAGCGACCTCGCGAGGGCGGAGCCAGAGAGGGGAATGGGGATTGGCAGCAATCATCAGAGCTCTCCGCAGCCACTTCTCCGCCTCCACCGCCACTCCCGATCGCCGCGCCACCGCCTCACGCCCCTCCTCGAGCCTCCTCCTCCCCCTCCTCCTCCGCCGTCGCCGTGATCCTCTCGCCGCCGCCTGGTGAGCGCACTCTCTCTCTCTCTCTCTACATATATATCACTCTGTCACTCACTTTTTCTCTATATCGCTCTCTCTCTCTCTCTCTCTCTCTCTCTCTCTCTCTTTCTCTCTACTGGTTCGGCGATTTGTCTGCTTCCGCATGTCGCTTGCGATTTGAAAGGAGAAGGGAGGATCGGGGGATCTCGGAGGCTTTTGGTCGCATTCGTGTTCTAGAACCGGGGACCTTCTTCCTCTCCGGGAGAGCCCTACTAGGCAGGGAGATCACAGATCTCCCTCTCGCCGGAGATCGAGCACTATTTCCTCTTCTCCGGTGTCTCCTTACGAGGGAGCGAGGGGGGGCGATGAAGGCGGGATTAGGGTTTCTCTGAGCATCTTGGTTGCAGGAGGAAGGAGAAGATGAACTCGCCGTCGCCGACTCAGCTCCTCCCATCCGGCGGGATGGCCATCTACGAGCTGAACAAGCAGATGGGCCTCTGGATGGACGCCCTGGGGACCGACAGCAGCCAGAACACCGCCACTTCCACTGTCCTCGAACCAGAGGCCAAGGCCCCCCCCCATCAGGTTCATACTACAACCACTACTACTAATAGTAATAATAATAATGATAATAATAATAATTCTGCTAAAATTAATCATTTCTATGTTCATAATTTGTTTGTTTTTCTTGTAAATTGTGGTTGGGTTTGTTTATTAGTTGCAGGATGCCAATGAGATGCCGGGATCTTCGAGAGAAACTGATCAGGAAGCTAATAAACCCAACGACAAGGTGGGCCCATGTTCTTGCATAGATATTCCTTTTTCTCTGGGGCCTTCCTATAAGCCCTTGAATGAAGAAGAGTGGACTAAGGAATGAAACCCATTTATCAAAGTTGAAGCATAGCCCAAAAGATATAATTACTTGATGAGCTTTGATTAGGCATGAATAGGGATTCTCCTCCTTCCACAGGGTTCATATGGGTGTTTGGTGGTGGTGGTGGTGGTGCAGGTGCTGAGGAGGCTTGCGCAGAACCGGGAGGCGGCCAGGAAGAGCCGGCTCAGGAAGAAGGTGGGCCCAGGCCAGATTCAATCACGAGTCCGGGGATTTTGCTGCTGCGGAGAATCTTGAAATGGTCTATCATGTTTCTTGTCTGCAGGCGTATATTCAGCAGCTGGAATCAAGCCGTTCCAAGTTGGCGCAGCTTGAGCAGGAACTCCAGAGGGCCCGGAAGCAGGTTTGTGGGCCCATCTTATTCCAGTGAAAATACATCTCTCTCTCTCTCTCTCTCTCTCTCTCTCTCTCTCTCTCTCGCTCTCTCTATCTCTGCCCAAACATGCAATGTACCCATCACCTAAGAACCTCCTCTTTGGCTACCCACCTCTTTGGCTACCCCTATTACGAGCATCTAATCCGACCCCGTTGACTTTTGTTCCAGGGTGGTCTCATAAGTGGAAGCCCAAGAGATTCATTTCGTGGGATACCCAGGGCATTCAACTCAGGTAGTTCAAACTAGAAAAACTGTTCATTCGATCCGCCTCCTTTCTAATCTAAGAAACCCAAATCGTGGATCATAGACTGTTCTAATACCTGGAGATTGAGGCGACAGGTGCCGCAACCTTTGAGATGGAATATGGGCGCTGGGTGGAGGAGCAGAACAGGCAGGGCCGGGACCTGCGTGCGGCTCTACGTGCCCATGCCTCTGACATCGAGCTTCAGATACTGGTCGAGAGCGGCATGAGCCACTACGACGAGCTCTTCCGCATGAAGGCCGCCGCCGCAGAGGCTGATGTCTTCTTCATAATCTCCGGCATGTGGAAGACATCTGCGGAAAGGGTTTTCCTATGGATTGGAGGCTTTCGCCCTTCTGCCGTTCTGAAGGTGAGGTAGAGATCTGATTGCACACAGCTGATGTCTGATGTCTTCATTCATGCTATGTTATCACAGGGCGGTCTAGCAAAACAGAGAATTAAGGATTTCCAGCACTCAGAGCCCTGCCCAATGGTTCTACTATAACTCAGTATCTATGTGATGGTTGCTTCTCATCTAATTCAGACAAGGCCTTGTCTGATTCAGTATCTATGTGATGATTCTTACCTAATTCAGGACAGGGAGGGGAGGGGTGGCTTGTCTGATTCAGGATTCATAGATGATTATTATCCGATTCAGGAAATGACTTGCTTTATTTTTTTTTCGGGCCCTCTCTCCACTACTTGATCCGTTGACTAATTCAGACAAGATCTTGTCTGATTCAGTATCTATGTGATGATCCTTACCTAATTCAGGACAGGGGGCCTTGTCTGATTCAGGATTCATAGATGATTCTTATCTGATTCACGAAATGACTTGCTTCAAATCTCCCTTACTCTTTTCCAGGTCCTCTCTCCGCAACTTGATCCGTTGACAGAGCAACAAGTCATGGCCGTGTACAATCTCCAGCTATCCTCCCAGCAGGCTGAAGATGCCCTCTCCCAGGGCATGGACAAGCTCCAGCAGACTCTCTCAGAAACACTGGTGGCCGATGCATCGGCCACTGTGAACACTTCAAACTGCATGGGTCAGATGGAAACAGCCATTGGGAAGCTGGAAGCCCTCGTAAGTTTCGTTAACCAGGTAAAGACCTTCACCCCACCTCATCCATGGGACCCCTCGTAGTTATTCTCAGACTGTTCTTCTTGCCTTTGGTATCAAGTTCATATTTTTACAAATCAAATGTAGAAACATTGATAAGACACATTGGGCAGCAGCTCGTAGACCCATCTGAAAAGAATATTTGCTATTTAATAAGAGCAATACGCAGAATGGCGGTCCATACAAAAACACCTACACTGAGGGCCGTCCATGGCAGATCTTCATTCATGGGAGCCTTACCAACTTACTGAGTTAGCTACTTTAAGCAAAAATTATGTCTGGTCACCAAGCACTCCCTGCCATTGCTGACTATGGGGTCTCATCTCTATTGAAGGCTGACCATCTCCGGCACCAGGCCCTGCAACAGATGCACCGGATACTCACCACCCGCCAGGCTGCCCGGGGCCTCCTTGCCCTGGGGGACTACTGCCAGCAGCTGAGGGCCCTCAGCTCCATGTGGGCGGCCCAGCCCCGTGAGCCGGCATAGCAACTCCAAGAAACCCTGTAAATGTCTCAACTCACACCTCTAGAGCCTCTTCGGAAACTCCTAGCTCCTTCCCGGGGCCACACCCGAGAGGGTGGAGCTGGCCAAGAATGACACCAGTGGACTTGGTGATCGTCCTCAGGAGTAACTGAGACGAGTTTCAATCCAAAGGGGCTTTCTTTGAGCAGTCAATCCTTCTCATAACCCCCTCCCCCCCCCCCCACCTTCCGGCTAGATTGGAGGTCTCTTGTCTATTTACTTATGGACGATGAATGTTATGTAGATTATCAGCAGATATTGCCCCTAATGGAAAGCCAGATTATCATGTGATTACATGTCATATGGATAAAAATATCCCCCTCAATGCTTCTCCTAAAAAGGTCCTCTCTCTCTCTCTCTCTCTCTCTCTCTCTCTCTCTCTCTCTCTCTAGTTTATGAAAGAGAGCAACACCAACAAGTAAGAAATAAAAAAGGAACACCTTCCAGAAGTGAAGCGCTGGTAATGGCTATCGGAGCAAGGAGGATGGCACTACTATAGAAAGACCTTTAATTACACTGATGAAGGGGAATGACTTACAGGAAGGTGGCCTGGATGATTGAGAGATTTCTCTGGGTCTCAATTGCAAGTTACAGAAGGCCAAGTTCCTTCAGCTGCTGCACATGCTCAAGGGGCAGCGGTGGCGGGCACCAGCTCCCATCCGTCACCTCCCCATCAACATCCTCCACCACATACTCCTGGGCAAGCATGAAAAAGCGGCTCAGAAGTCAACTCAACACCAGTGATCTCTGAACCTGTATACTTCAATCACAAGATTAGTCGTTTTCACATCAAATGTGGAAATACCCAAACCCATCACCCCACTGCAGCTCTTGACAAATTAGACTACATGATCTTAGCTGAATCATTCAATGCAGGGGTAATCATAGCAGAAGGCCTTTGTGAGCAAGAAAAGACGAACAGAAGTGGGTGTTATTCAGAAGTTCTCTACTCACCTTGGTGAGCATCCTCTTGGCAAGTATATGATAATGCCTTTGCCAAATCCTTTGGCCCACCATTGTTGCAACTAGCACACTGTAGAAGATGCCTATTATGGTGAACAGCCCCAGCACCACCAGGCCCACAATGAACAGCACAGGCAGGCCTGCCTCGCCGGCCGCTCCTATTGAGCTGCTGCACTCGCTTGCTGCAGTTGCACAGCCTTCACAGCATGCAGTGCAGTCCGTCCACATGCACAGAGTCCCCGGTAGGTGACAGTCGCACAACCTGGTGGGACAAAGGGGACAAGATTGAAGAGGATATGACCGAATGTTATATTCTTCACAACCATGAGCAAAACATAGGAAGTATTCAATCCAAAATCAAGACTAGTCCATCATTCGCTTCGAAGATAACAGATACGATGGGCAGACTACTGTCTGGGCAGGGCTAACCCAAGATGAAATGCCGTTTAGTTAGTCAAATTACAATAGGGTGTAAGTGTGTGTGTACTTATCCAGGAATGAGGATCCCAGTATAGATATCTATATATATATATATATAGCAACTAAGAGGGCCTGCCTTCTCAGTTAAACAAAAAATGAAGGGGCGTGGTGGTGGATGTGTCACTGGGTCTATCAAAACAAAAGAAGATGTTCCCAAACAGAAATGCAAATAACCTTCATCCATATATATATATATATATATATATATATAGAGAGAGAGAGAGAGAGAGAGAGAGAGAGAGATGTGATAAACAGAATTTGAGGCATCAAGTAGAAAGGGAGAGGATTTTAGTTCCATTGAGAACCTGAGTACGCGTATCCTTTGTTGTAATCGCTGGCAGATAGAGGAGTCTACCATGTAAATCGTATATGATTTTGGGATAGAAGCTCAAGAATAAAGGCAGAGCTGTCCCGCATAATGGACTAACAAAAGGTGGGGCTCGTTTTACTGTATAATTTAAATTACAAGACCAAAAAAAGGTAATATTACCCCGGTTGACAGCAACAGATGCATAATTCCCGGCATGGTTGAGCCAGATCATTTCGCAGTCTTCGATCATAACAGGTAATGATGCAACCAGACAGACCCAACAGAGCGAAAAACAACAATGCACCTACAAACATGGACATAAGCAGATAAACGATCAGCCTTAGTGTATCAGTATGAAATCATAAGATGAAATGAATATACTTTGAATGGAAGTCTTCAGGAATATTAAAGTGCACAAGATGTCAAGCTAACAGAATTCTCAAAGACCTGCATTATGTGAGTACAGCATATATGGCATATGAACATGCAATAAATAGAGGCACTATCTGCATATTTGACTATCATAGTCAAAAAATGCACGTAATTTATTTCTAAAGTAAAAATTAATACATATTTGCTAAAATTCAAAAGGAAAACAGGGTATACATTCATAGCTTCCATGCGTTCTCAAAAGAACACTGTACATAAGCTTTATAGACTGTAGCAATGTGGTTAAGACTATACTAACCACTTATCCCTCCCAAAATGAAGGAATGCATTTCACTCTTTAAAAAACCGCCTTACCCCACTTTTTCACTCAAACACAAGGACTCACGATGACACTCTGCTGACTATGCAGCATTTGTAAACGCAGGTCCTATACACAGGAAGACCACAAAGTCATACTCTTACAGAGAAAATTACAATATTATTTGAGCAGTAACGTGTCTAATATAAATCAATTCATCAGTGTAATGTATTGGTCAGATGATATAACTTCTTACATCACAAGGCCCAAAAATAATATGCAACGAAAATAGGGGGCGGGGGAACTTAAGGAGAAATCATCTTTAAGAATTGTACTCAGCATTTAGAATTTTACCACATATATAATAGAGAGAAAGTCCACTGTCAAGTCCCCAGGCTACACGCAACCGGTACTGCTGGATACTATCAACCAAATATACCAGGTATCCGAGAGAAGCAATTACCTGCAGGGTAAACGCATGCTTATCAGTAAGTAAAAAGGGCAATGGGAACAACAAGTCAGAAAAATTTGAAGTCGATCAATTGAAACAGGTTGCCAAAGGACTCACAAACTGAACAATGGAAAATACGAACAAGACATCTCTTGTTACAAAGAAGCGGAATTTAAAGGTTCGCCATTTTCTGTCAACATGTGCTTGAACCCTCAAGTAATAAGGAGCCTTGCAGGTTGTACAGTGCGCAAAGGCAAACCCTTCCTGCAGATGAATGTTATCAGGATCCCTCTCAAATTAGAAGTAAAAAAGCTAAACGCTGGATTTCATAATGAGAATACTATATATGATAAAGTGAAATGTACAGATACGAGTGCCAGAGAGCAAGCAAAGCGAGATAGGTCCAATGGCATGAAGAATAACGAGAGCTTTTTCATATAAAATAACATCTTGTAATAGTTCTGGTATCCTAGATCTTCAAATGTCTCTAAACAATAAGACAATTGTGCCAGCCAAAAATCACACAGATCTGAACTTAAAGATTCCATAGATGATTCGCTTTAATGAAGAAAGACATCTAAGAATTATATGCAGGGATATCTTTAGAAAAAAAAGTCAAAGGCACACTTTGGGATCAACAAGAAATGTATGATTAAAGTAATACCGAATGCAACATAATCTTCTCCATAAACATAACAAGAATTGCTATCTCACCAGCTCGCATTGGAAAAAACTGATCCTTAGTACTCCTAGTAACTTTCTTTTTCTGAATGTATTCCAAAGATGGAACTTAATAATAAAAAGTCTGGCAATAGCCAGAGAAAAGCAACATTAATACAGTACAGTTGAAGACGGAGTGGGATTGGGGACAAGACATGTTAGTGCACCATTAGAGTATGCTACAGCACCTCATACATATTGCTGGTAACCCATTGGTGACCCCTGTAAACCTACTCGACGGTATAGGATGATAAGAAACAAAAGGCAGGGAGAGTTTCAACAATTCAAAGAAGATATTATACTCATAAAGCAGAGTACGTGGACTTGAGTTAAATGGATCACCATTTTCTGTTCCAGTTCATTTAGAGGATACAAACGATAATGGCAGTGAAGAAGCAAACACACAATAGGAGAAACCGTAAATTCTTTCAAAATAGAAGAAACCTCGGTACTTTGAGCGGTGGCTAAATACGCAAGGTTTGATTGCCCACCTTGACAGATCGCCAATGGTCGAGGCACTCTCGGTGGACGAACTTGGACGTTCCCTTGCACTTGCAGGGAGCTATGAAATCCCTTCCTGCCAAAAAAACCCCAAAAACGAAGCCGAATCATCGAAAATATTTTCCCAAATTCCCCAGAAAAAAAGAGCATAACTCTCCAGGCACCCCCAACACGGAGGCGGAGGGGGGTCTGCTACCTTCTGTCTCCAGGCAGATGCGGCACTGGATCTGCGCGTCGGGGCCAGCCTCGAGATCAATCTCGTTCCGAGGTTCGGGGACAGGGGAGGGAGGTACAAGAAAGGAGGATGATTCCTCCGAATCCGCCATCTCCGGAGGCGCGAGGTTGCCGCAGTTGGCCGCTTACCACGGCGTGCTCTGCGATCGGGAGGAGAGAGGAACGAAGGAAGAGAACAGAGCTCGCTCGCTCTCTCTCTCTCTCTCTACTGCCGAGTCTCGCTCGAACCTTTCTCCCCCCTCCTACGTGGAGCTATAGATTTACGCCACGTGTGTTATCGGTCAAAGACGCCCCATTAAATTCTAAATTTATTCTGAACGCTGAAAGTTTATAGACTCCCTTCCGGGCATGTGACTCGTTAGGTGAGGCGGTGAGAGGATGTATATATAAATTATTAACATGACAGGGTTTAAAAAAGAAAATAAGGATATAAAGAGGGGGGATCAGAACATGGTCCTTCACAGATTATGTGAACAAGATGAAGATCATGTGATGAAGAATAATGAGGGAGGTGAGGTAATCAAACTTTTACATATGTTGAACATACTGTAGCTATTAACATCAAAATATTATCTATAAGAGTCTTTGGTGATTAGTTGCAATTTCTAAGATTTTTTTTTAATTTAATATGATAAATTAAAACTATTCAATAGGTTTTGTTAGTAAAGATATGTATCATAGAGTATTTATAGATAAACATATGAATAATCAAAATTATTAAAATCAGAATATTATCTATAAGAGTCTTTGGTGATGAAGAGGATTTTAGTTGCAATTTCTAAGATTTTTTTTTAATTTAATATGGTAAATTAAAACTATTCAATAAGTTTTGTTATTATACATACATATCATAGATTTTTAAAGTAAAAATATTATCTATAAGAGTCATTGGTGATGAAGAAGATTTTAGTTGTAACTTTTAAGAATAGATTTTTAATTTTCTATGGTGAATAAAACATTCGATAAGTTTTGTTATTGTGGATTTGTATCATAGAGTATTCATAGATGAACATATGAATAATAAAATTATTAAAATCAAAATATTGTTGATAAGAGTCTTTGATGATGAAGAGATCTTAGTTGCAACTTTTAATAATATCTTTTTACTTAATATGGTGAATTAAACTATTCAATAAGTTTTGTTATTGCAGATTTGTATCATAGAGTATTCATAGATAAACATGTGAATAATCAAAACTATTAAAATCAAAATATTATATATAAGATTTTTTGGTGATGAGAAGATTTTAGTTGCAACTATTAAGAATATTTTTATAATTAATATGGTGAATTAAAACTATTCAATAAGTTTTGTTACTGCAATTTGTAACATAGAGTATTCATTGATGAACATATGAATAATCAAAGTTTAACTTATGTTGAGCATCCTTTAATTAAAAAATAAAATTAATACTCATAAACATTCATTAATGTTTGAATGACTATCATAATTGCTTGAAAAACCTATTGTAATTGCATATATAGAAACATGCAATCTATGTTTGCTCAAGTAGTAGAAGTACTCAATTATAAATCAGGAACATACTAAATGTTTTTATAAATTTAGTGCATAGTTTCTATGGTGTGAATTCTGACTTGAAGATGCAAAAGTAGATTGTGTAGAGGAGATAATTAAATCCTTGAAATGGAGACAATGATTTCTATACTTGAATGATTATTTTTCAATCTAAGATTTAGGAAGCATGTTTCTTATATAATGAATGATTTTTCTTGGCTTTTTAGTATTTTTAGTGGTCCAAAAAATATTAGAAAAAGTTTTCCAGCTACTATGACACATTACAATGGTTAAATTATTATTTTGTTGCTTTCCTTATTTTGTTCTATTAGACACCCACTTTAGCTCTTCTAGGTTAGACTCATGCCACTATTTTCCCATTTAAGAAGAAAAACACAGAACCCTTGTAGTATATTAGACCATTTACGGCATATTCAAATATTTTCAAGAGTTATTAAGAAGTCAGAATGTTTTGAGATGTGAAATACCTTTTTTATCCTTCAATACATTTTCCTCAACTTGTATTTCTATTTATTTTTTTTTAAAAAATCATAGTTTATTTTTAACTATGCAAAACTACCAATTTATATTTGAGCATATTCTCAACAGGTTCTATAAACTATATCAAGAATGTTCAAGGGTCACAAAGATGTCAAATATATATTTACAATATGAAATTACTCTTTTACCCTTTAATATATTTTTCTCAATTTCATACGTAGTATTATTTAGAAAACATTTATACAACATATGTGTATTAAAGTGTTTGAGGAAATATTTTTCTAATATTTTTCTAACATCTATGCATAATTTAGTGGTGTCAGATTATGATTTTATTGTTCTATCATAATATTTTGTCATCATCAAAAGTATTTAACCTTTGAGAGCAAATGACATGAACATTAGATATCAATTGTGATGTACTCTGTGATTTCACAAGTCAAACTCTTAATACCTCTAAACATTAACTTTAATGTATTAAACTATTGGAACACTAACAATGTGTGTTATAATATTTTTGCACCATAAATTGTCATATGCTAAAATATTAACCTTGGTATATTATCTTATATCAAAACATAAGTTTTTCCATGGTAAAATATCAAAATTGATGCACAACACTCTTCCACAGCACAAGTTTTCATATTTGTAAAATATTAGCCTTTTTGTAATGCAATATTTTGGAACATGAAATGATCTTTTTGACGTCATAAGCTTTTGTCCACCTCCAGACTTACCATATATATATATATATATCTCTCTCTCTCTCTTTCCTCTCTCACTCTTAATTGCAAACAAAATTGTCAAATTTTCTCTAAACTTTGGCTAATTTTAGGTATTATAAAGTGACATTGGCTCAGGCTAAACTTAAATGATGCCCAACCCTTTGGGCTAATAAATTAATTAGATTTTGTGCCTTACAAGTTACATTCATAGCTAAACTATCATCACCTTAACCTCACATATTATGATTATTAGTTGAACTTGTTTCACTAGATACTTCAATAACATTAAATATTTTTATGCAGTGGACTATACTTTCATAAACTGACTATATTATTCTCACAAAATAATTCAATAAAATTTAGAATACTCTTTTGTGCTAAAAATATTATCATATAATCTTTTGAAAAATCATAAAAGAAAAAAATTTCCATCAACCTTTCATTCCATACAAGCACCTAAAAAATTGAAAATATGACACAAAAAGTTAGCAACATTCATACATTATATTATTATATGTATTGGTGATTTTCTTCATTTTTTTCATGTGGCCTTGAGGGGGGCCTATCTAGTAGTGCTCAAACTCTCAACATCTTGTGATTACTTTTTTTCCTATTTATTATTTTTATTTGCGTTTCTACTCATTATCTTTTGACTTTTCTTCATTTTATCGACTTTCTTTTTTGCATTTCATGTTTTAATTTGAATCTATGGGCGCTCTAAATTATTTGCTATAAATGGGAACCTCACTCACTGCATGAACGTATGCTTGCTGACAATTTATTTCTACTTAAAATAGGATTTTTATGGGGGATACCCAATTTGCCACGTCTGTTCCGACCGAGTCCTGGCATAAAAATTATTTAAAAGGGTCAACGCAGAATTATCAAGTTACTTCACATCATCCAATCGTAAGAAGTCAACAGAATGTCTAGTTGGATCCCGCCGGCAATGGAAAGGCGGGTGACTGTGGGCCCCACATTCTTCACACCCCAGCGGTTTTCGGCGTGCCGGCAAAACCGCGGCGGGTACGCTGCGGGTTTCGGGGCGAAACTTGGAAGGATATTCCTCCGAACCAGTCACTAGTTTCCTGAAAAAATAATTCTAACCATGCTTTCAAAACCATTAAAATTTAATTATCTGTGAGGAAAAAATCGAGAAAAATATTATTTTTAAGGAAAATGCGATTTAAAGGATACTAAAAGGATATGACCGACAGATGGAGAGAGAGAGTGAAGAAACCTCTGGAAAGCGGTAGTGGTTTGCCGCTAAAAACGCCGGCATTATTGACCGGAGGGTCCATCGAAGTCGCCGCCGACGATCTTATCCGCGCCGCCGCGTATAAATGGCCCCGCTGTTCAGTGGGCTCATCGTCGTCGTCTGCGAAAAGCGAGGAAAGGAACAATTGTCGTGCTACAGTCGTGTTCGAGGATCTCGATCGGTGGCGGAGATGGCGGAGATCGCGTTGCTGATGGCGGAGGAGTACGAGAGGGCACAGAAGTGGCGCAAGGAGGCGCCGGCGGAGGTCCCGGTCTGCGTTTTCTTCTCTTACCTCCCAAATCTGAGGAAGAAGGCCGATGGAGTTTCCTCTCCTCCGGTGGCGAAGCTGGAGGTGAGGGCCAGGAAGGCGATCTGCGCGGGACAGGCCGCGGAGTCCAAGACCTCCTCCTTCGGTCTGGCCGCCATGGAAGGCTTCTTCCCGGCCTGAGCCCTCCTCCTCCCCCTTCTCTCTGATTTCTCCGATCTCCCTGGTTCCTCCCTCTCCAAAACCCCCGCTGGAGAGCCAGTGGGGATCGGATCGCTTGTACATTTTGTAAATTCTTCAACGCGCTTCGAGGAATTGTTCGGATCTTGGAGTCTGATCGATCCTCAGAGATCTCGGCGACGGTATCCATTTTGGGATGATTTCTGTTCTTCACTGTTCTTCACTGTTCTTCTTCCATCGCGCTTCCTTCCCCCCATGGTTTTGCTCCGACGAGCGGATTCACAGAGCGGTGCATTCTCGAAGTCTTAATTTCACTGAAGTCCCTGCAAAGAATGAGAATTTACTTCCGCCCTTCTTTCGCTTGTCTTCATCGAGTTTGCCTGCAACTTGTAATCACGGCTCTCAATAAAGAGGCTTTTTGAAGGACACAAACATAAATTAAATTCTTTTGAGTCACTTAATCAACTCCACAAGATTTTTCGAAAAAATGCATTCGTGTGCATTTAATATTTAATAAATCCAAAAAATATTAGTTAATTATATTCCATATTATGACCTGCTTTGTTGGGCGGTCCCAAGTCTGATCTACGTCTCGGAATCCACGTGCGGACAGAGAAGCTCCAGAAAATCAGTGACACGTGGCAGTGGCAACGCGAGCGGGCCCCATCACAGAAGTAGAACAGTAATTATAATATATTACTTTTGAGCAGTATTTTAAAAATAATTAGTATTGAGTTAGAAGGTGAACTAATAATAAAATCGAAACTTTGACCCATAGCTTTACATATATTAATTCGTGATGAATATAAAATCATTGAATAGTTCTATGGAGTATGAGATATTTTACGGTTATTTTTTATTATTATTTTTAAATGACCATGATTTAGGAGAGGTTTACTTATTCTACGCACGTTCAGCTAATTATTTTTTAAAATATATTTCTCATCTTTTAATTTCTAAAGTCAAATGTTGTCAAAAAAGTCGTCCACTTCCTTCCCCCTTCTCTCTCTCTCTCTCTCTCTCTCCTCACGTATTTCTCGCCCCCGGTTCCCGCTTTCGGACCGCGTCTTCGAGCATCCAAATCCACTTCTCCGCCGCATCCACACCTTCCCTCCTATTCACGCTCGACCGATCCTCATCTCTCTCTCTCTCCCTCTCTCTCTTTGTCTGGTCCTCGGTGAAGTCGTTGCCTCGTCAATCTGAGCCTCAGGTGCCGGATTCAGTCGGTTACCGGCGTGCGGTGGTAAGCTTGTCGTTGCCCCGAGAGGTCGAGTTTACTGGCGTTTAGATCTGTTTCCTTGGTCTTGGTTCTGTTTCGATCGTTTTTGTAACCCCGGGCGGCCCATTCCCCTTCCTTGGTCTGTCATTTAGATGGATTTTGGTCGAATGTGAAGTTCAGATCCCTCTTGTTTATTGGTGTCTTTAGTGTTTGTTCAATTTTCTATTTGAAATCTGCCGTTTCATTGGTTTTCGATGGCGTTCTCACTTTGTTCTTCTATTATAATCGTGAGGTCCGTATCTCGGACGGTGCTGGGTCTTCGATTATATTTTTGCTTATTGAAGTGTTTAGTTTCAGAGTTTTCAAATTGTTTCTAATCCTGGTCCTCCATAGGTAATTTCTGAGACGCGATCTTCGTCTAGGATAATCTTTTCTGATTTTCCCAATGCTGGTGAAGTTAAACATGAGGTTCATGATCTAATATTATGTGACCACAATTTATCTGTTTTGGCGTCTATGAAGCGCATTAACTGATGTTGACTAGAGATATATAGGTTGTGGAATAAAGTGATTGATTATTGTTTTGCTTTAATGATCCTATCAAGCAAATTTTTCTTTATGTAATTGCGTTTGCACAAAAGAACATTTACGGTAAATTCTGGATTCATAGTGTTCACATGTGCAAGAACCTTTGTGAATTTTGATAATTGGCTTCACTTCATTCCCTTGGTTGCTTCATCAGTATATGGTCTAACGTCTTTTCGAATCGTCAGTCGGTTTGGCTGTGCCTTACAGAATTCTTTTGCAGGTATATATAGAAGTTGTCTCATTTCTGTGCCGCGGATCTGACGAATACCACCCTTTTGTGGTTACTATTGCGTCATTTCAAGCCTATTCTTCGTGTATTTCACATAACGTATGGATAACATGGAAAACAAAGAGAAGAACACATCCATCTCTTCTACCATAGAGTCCCCTGATAAGGGCATCCTTGATCCTCGACCAAAGGATGGAGAGCTCGCAAATCAACTTGAAGATTTAAAGGTAGGTCGGGAAGATCCAAATCCCAACGATGTGAAAGAAGAAAAAGACTTGAATAAACAGATAAGTGAAAGCAGCAGTGTGGAAGCTACTTCAGCAGTAGTAAAGAAAGCGGCAGAAGAAGTCCTTGGTGAGGAGAAGGAAACAGAGCCTGTATTTGATGGAACTGAGGCTCCAGGACTGGAAGCAACGAGGAGCTTTTCGAGCCGCTCTTTTGAACTTGATCCAGAGGCACAAGGTTCTGCTTGGCCTGAGAAGGCTGTGGCACTGAAGAACTTTGTAAAGGAGAAAGGTGTGGTGGCAGTTTCTAGTGTTCTTCGCCGCCTATCAGGCAAAAAGGATGAAGATGAGCAGGTCCTTCCAGATGGTGAAGAGCATAATGATCACCTAACAGAAATCGTAGATGGCTCTGACTATCCTACAACAGAAAATAAAAGGAAAGAGGCGTCCCATAGGATAGGGGAATGGTCTACATGGAATCCTTTGAGCTTCATTAAGATTGGCCGTGATATAGAAAGCCACCATAAGACTGATCAGTCAGAGGTTATTAATGTAGATTACCCTGCTGAGGTGCCAGTCATGAAAGGAAGAATTATAGTGTACACAAGGCTTGGATGCAAGGAGTGCAAGGAAGTCAGGCTATTCATGCATCAGGAAAGGCTGAGATATTTCGAAATTAACATAGATATCTATCCTAGCAGAAAACTGGAATTGGAAAAGAACACTGGATCCCCAGCCGTTCCCCGGATCTTCTTCAATGAACTTCTTATCGGCGGTTTAAGTGACCTGAATGCCCTTGATGAGTCCGGGAAGCTTGCTGATAAGATTAGTCTTCTTATCAATGATGAGCCCTCTCCCGCAGCTCCTATGCCACCATTACCTGGTGAAGATGATGTGTCTGGTAGCGGAACAGTTGATGAGTTGGCATCCATTGTTAGAAAGATGAAGGAATCAGTTATTCCTAAGGATCGATTTTATAAGATGAGAATGTTTAGCAACTGCTTTCTCGGTTCTGAAGCTGTGGAATTCCTGGCAGAGGATCAATACTTGGAAAGAGAAGAGGTTGACCGCTTACTTACTAAAACATTTATCATTATCCATTTTTCAACTAAATTTTGTCACACACTGAAAGTATAAATTTAACCTCACGTACTAGTATTTTTTCTTGTTCGAAAACGCAATGTATGTATTATTTTTTAAAACTTGCTCTTTTAAGCGTGGGATTTTGTTAGAAGTCACTCTGTTAGTCCTGTAAATGATAGTTCTCGGTCAAGGTTTCTCAACAACTTGGAGGGTACACTTATGCCTGGTTTTCTAAATGTAGTGTGAACAGATTGGCAGGATGCGAAGATATGGCTTTTTCAATTGAAAGACTTTCAGTTTTATGCTTCCCCTTATCTTAAAACAGTAGTTTCCAGAGATCAAAAGATCATTTGATTTTGTGGGCATCTAAGCTTCGGTGGATACTTTGAAAATGGGATGGCTCTATATGCTGTGATATCCTAAGATCACATGGGTAACTCATCTTTGATGAGGCTGGAAAATTTCTATTTCAATTGTTAGCTTTTCATGATCGTTTCCAAACTCTCTCCGTATCCAATTATTGACCAGGTGTTATGGGGGTCCGTTTGGTTGGACAGGTATCTTGACTTATTCACCTTGCCTTTAGAGTAGTTTTCATCATTTAACATTTCGAAAGTCATGGCTCATTATGCTCTCTACCTATCATTCCCTTCACCTTGTTTATGTGTTTGAATGGTTGCCTCGACAGATATTTCTGTTGGGATATTTAATGTACTTCAAATCTTATGGCGATTCTACTTTGTTCATTAGTTTCTCCGGCAATACCATGCAGGCAGTGGAATTTGGCAGGAAGCTGGCTGCAAAACACTTTTTTCGACATGTCCTTGAGTAAGTCTCTTGATGCCATTTTGCTTCAAAAGTGTGAAATATTTTTGTGTTTCTTCTAACAGTCTGATGATTTCACCATGTCAGTGAAAATACTTTTGAAGATGGAAGCCATCTATATCGATTCCTGGATGATGATCCTATTGTCGTTTCTCAGTGCTACAATATCCCCAGGGGCATCATTGATGTGAAACCAAAGCCTTTAATTGATATTGCATCAAGATTGAGACATTTGTCTTATGCAATGTTCGAAGCATATGTCTCTGATGATGGAAAGCATGTGGACTACAGAAGTATCTATGAGAGTGAAGAGTATAGAAGGTATTTTTTTCTTGATTGGCTTGTAGAAATCTGCTCCTTAGCGTTTCTTTGCTGGCAGAGCTGAAATCAGTAGCATAATTTACTATTTATTTTCATCAATTGTCTGCATAAAATTTATGACTCTAATAAAGCAGTTTCCGTGTTTTCTCTGTTCCTAAACTTTGTATATTTTTTATAATCGAAAACTGAGATGGATCCTGAGTGCGGAATATCGTATGCCTTTGTGATAAAAGGCTAGAGATGTCAATAGTGGGTGTGAGGAGGGTGGGGGCAGTCAATAGTGGATTACTGATTACACTGATTACTGTCTACTTCCCCTTGGAGGAATAGTTGAAGCTAATCCCATGCTATTTCCGTCTTAGCATCAACCGATGAGCAGGGCAGGTGCATGGAAATAGTTACTTTAATTCTTCTCTTGATGATCTCAGAAGCCTATTACCTGAACAAGCTCTTTAGGTTATTGAAGAGTAAAAATTAAGGCCTTCTAGTGATTTGTATGGTCTAATTCATTTGATCAATCGCTTACCTTCAACTTTTGCATCGTTTTCTCCATTAGTGCTGCTAAACAGGATGTGTTGAAAAGTGTGTACTCATGCGTATAATTCAGCGTCCGTTTATTAGCCTAGAACTCGATAGCTTATGCTTATAAAACATAAATCGAAGATAAGGTATTTTATTTACTTTGGAAATTAGACGTTACTAGGAGCCTAATTTCATATCATATGGGAATCATACCATGGGAAAGAACAACAATATCAGACTTCATTCATCATCTGGCGTAATGTGCAGGTTTCTTGTTACACTGTGGAGAAGAATGTTTTGCCCTAATGACAGAAGTATTGCGGGGATTCCTAGTGAATATTATTCCAGATAATTTATATCTATTTGCTTCGATTTGATCAGGTATCTGAGAATAATAGAGGAGCTTCAGAGGGTGGAGCTACAGGATGTGCCCAGGGAGGAGAAGCTTGCTTTCTTCATCAACCTTCATAACACAATGGCTATACATGCCATATTGACGTGGGGTCATCCTGTTGGGGCATTAGACCGGAGGAAATTCCTCGGGGATTTCAAGTACGTCATCGGTGGTTGTTCATATTCACTTTCTGGCATTCAGAATGGGATCTTACGTGGAAACCAGCGGCCGCCGTATAACATAGCTAGGCCTTTTGGCCCCAAAGATGGACGCTCCAAGGTAAGAGTCGCTCTTCCTTTAAATTGTGTGCATGAGATGCCCTTCAATGCATTGACACACTCACACATGCACATGCGCGTGCGTGCACACGCACACGCACACGCACACGCACACGCGCGCACGCACACACGCGCATGCGCGCACACACACACACAACAGTACCACATTTTCACAATCGACAGGTAGTGTAAGATCTAGGGATTTATGCATGAATCCCTAGATCTAGGCCTTTTGGGTTCCTAATGCTCACTGTTCAGCTTTACTTTCTAGCATCTTACTGGTTTTTTGTTATGCATGAATCTTTTCTGGCCATAGAACAATTTTCCTCGTGGGATTTAAATTATTTATTTCTTTCATCCCTCAGCTGGGTAATTCTCATGGCTCGGCTTCCCTTCGCGGCATCTAACCGGTTTCTCCTGTTCTTGATCAGGTGGCCCTTCCCTATGCGGAGCCCTTGGTCCACTTCGCACTCGTCTGTGGAACGAGATCTGGGCCTGCGCTGAGGTGCTACTCCCCGGGGAATGTAGACAAGGAGCTGATGGAGGCTGCCCGCAGTTTCCTCAGAAATGGGGGGCTTCTGATCGAACCCGAGACCAATGTCGTGTCCGCTAGCAAGATCCTTAAATGGTAATAATCGACCCCCTTGGATCTGATAAAGTTATTTGAATATCGTCCGAACTCATATTTACATGCTCTTTTTACGATTATGCCATTAAGAAAAACCCAACTCAGGTCAACCCTTTATTTTTCATGATGATTATCTTCCGAATTATTTCTTATTTCAGCAAAAAAAAGAAAAGAAAAGGGTTAATTCTTTCCCAGAATGGTTATCATGGAGCAGTTTGACGTCCGGTCGTATCTTCAGATTTTGGTCTGATAAGGTCAACTTTTAGATATCATCCAAACTCGTATTCATATCCTCCACTAATTATATGATTCTAGTGAGATTTATCCTGCAATTAAGAAAAACCCAGGTCATATCAACCGGAATATAGTTCGAATTCTCCCGTTTTACCTAATATCTTTTTATTTTCTTCCTTTGTGATTATTTTTATTTAAAAGAGGATATTTACCCTGCAATTAAGGAAATCCCAATTCAGATCAACCCCAGTTCTTCGTGTCGATCATGCTGGGAAATCTTCTATAAAACCCACCAAATTTATAATTCTTTTGTTTTTGTTCAGGTACAGCGTGGATTTTGGCAAGAACGAGAGCGAGGTGATCAAGCATGCAGCAAACTACTTGGAAGCATCGAAGTCCGAAGAATTGCTGGGTCTGCTCGCAAACTCCCAGCCGAAGGTGGTTTATCAGCCATTCGACTGGGGCTTGAACTGCTAATTATGGCATCCATTTCCATTTCCGCAGCCTCTCAATCCCCAAGATTCCAGGAACCCCACTAGGCTACCAGCCTAGAGAGAGGTTACATAGTCTCCTGGCGTACACACCGAACCTAGAGAGAGAGAGAGAGAGAGAGAGAGAGAGAGAGAGAGAGAGAGAGAGAGAGAGAGAGAGAGAGATTCCCAATCATGTGTGATTGATATCTTCTTGTTGCTAAAGGGGGCATTTCCAACTTGATCCTCTCTCTCTCTCTCTCTCTCTCTTCTCATATGGAAGATGACGCACTGGGCTTATTAGTTGTAACATCTCGGTCGCCCCGCCGGGCTCGGCCCGAGAGAGCAAAGAAGGGCCGAGGGCCCGGCCCCTCACTGACGAGGGAGCAGGCCAAGATACATCAGAGAAGATACATCAAAGTTAATTATCCGTTGAAAAGGAAAGTTTCTCTGGGGAGTGGCGGGTAGTGGTAATCAAGTCTTCTGGAGGACGATGCACCAGTTGGATTTGTCGTAGAACTGGTCGGCGACCACCGCATCTTCTATCCCCGCCACCAGCCTGTCAACAGGGAGGTGGGGACGACGCCACAAAGAAATCGGGTCATTGACCACACATTAATTTCCCATAAATAGTAAGTTTTTTCCTGATGTTCAAATGCCCTAAGTAGTAAGCCTTTGACCACATAATACGCTGTAAATAGTAAGTTTTTGACCACCACATAAGATGCCCTAAATAGTAAGATTTTGACCACCACACAAGATGCCATAAATAGTAAGCTTTTAACCACATAAGATGCCCTAAATAGTAAGCTTTTAACCACATAAGATGCCCTAAATAGTAAGATTTTGACGACCACACAAGATGCCCTAAATAGTAAGCTTTTAACCACATAAGATGCCCTAAATAGTAAGATTTTGACCACCACACAAGATGCCCTAAATAGTAAGCTTTTAACCACATAAGATGCCATAAATAGTAAGATTTTGATCACATAAGATGCCCTAAGTAGTAAGTTCCATGAGTTCTCTAAGGAATCTTCTCTCTTTCTCTCTTTCTCTCTCTCTCTAAAAAAAAATGAAATTTGCATAACGAAAGCACACTAACTTGCTAACATATTGCTAAATTAACTATATGAAACTAAAATCATTACTAGATAATGAATCAACTAATTGACTAAGTAATTGGGTGATTATACCTCTGAAGCTCGCCTTCCTTGAAGACATGGTAGTAGCGGTTGTACACAACGGCGCCCTTCTGGTCGTCTTTCTTTGCGAACCCACTGGCAATTGCAGCCGAGGCCCCGCCCACTTCTGCCCGGTGATAGGGCAAGTGCCAAGGAACAAAGTACTCTTGTTGCTCTACGTCATCATCTGGCAGACCCATCTCAGTGCCTTCGGCCCGAGGCGCATCGGGCTTCTCGGCATCACCAATTATACCCTTTGAGGGGATTAGTGACGGGCTTGGGACCCGAGACCCATCGGGCTTCTCGTCTGCGGCAGTGCTGGTGTCAGCAATGATGGGCTTTAGTGACGGGCTTTGTGCCCGAGGCCCCGCGGGTTCCTCAGCAACGATGCCCTTTAAGGGGATTAGTGAGGACGAGCTCCGGGCTCGGGACCTGGTGGGGTGCTCGTGGGCCTCGGGGATGCTCTCAAGGGAGAGGGCCGAGGACGGGCTTCGGGGCTGGGGGGAGGCGCTGGCGTTGACCCACTCCTCGTCGTACTTGGGGCCCAGAGGAGTCCACTTTGCGAGCAGCGACTGGTCCTCCTGTTCAACGGCCCACACTGTGATGAGCACGTGGCCACCCCTCCTCACCACTCTGACCAGCTCCTCCACTGCCTTCCGCCGCCGTCCCTCGGTGCTCAGGTGGTGGAGGACGGCCACGGAAATGGCGGCGTCGCCGTAACCAGAACGGAAGGGAAGGCCAACAGCGTCGGCGACGAGGACTTCGTGGCCACGGGAGGCGCAGATATTGACCAGCGGGGCGCTGATGTCGCAGCCGAGGAAGAGGCAGTCAGCGTTGACTCCGAGGTACTTGCCATTGCCGCAGCCGGCGTCGAGGACGAGGGACCCCCGCGGGAGGGAGCCGAGAAAGGCGGCGACTTTGGGCCACCGGGCGAAGCGGGTGGCGCTGAAGTGCGGCGCGATGGCGTCGTAGACGTGGTGGACAAACTTCTTCTCGATCTCCGGTGTTGACTCCACGCGCTCTCCGGCCGCCGGCAACTGACCGGTGGCAGCGTCGGCGGGGATTACTCTGGTGGCGCCCTCTCCCGGAAGTTCGGGCTTCATCCTCAGTTTATCCAAAACCCTAGCGCAGCCGCCGCCTCTCGCAGAGTATCTTCTATGCATGCCGCCCCATTCCCTGCCGCTGGTTTCTAGGGTTCGTTGCAGATTGACGGGACCTGCGAATCAGGATTTGCCCATTTCATCCGTCGATCAGGAGGAAGAAGGAATGATCTCAATCAGAGGAACGAAAATGTGGCGTGGTTTTGAGGGTTAATTGGGGGGAAAATGGGCGGAGGAGGTCGGAGACACAGAGATCTACAGATTGCCCCGCTCGCAGGTCGCCGGTCCGAGAAGCTCTCACTGCTCCGGCAGCGACTTGCCGATCTTCCACTAAAACCCGGCAATCCTCCGGACCCCCTCCCCAACCGGAGGGGATTCTATTCCATTCCCACCGAGCCGAGAGAGTGAAGAGAAGAAGCGTGAGACCAAGATTCCTCGATGGAAGAGCCCACCACACATACATACATACAGAGAGAGAGAGAGAGAGAAGATACTGACAGGGGAGGGCCGGAAGGAGGTGCTGGGTTCCTGCTCCGCTCGCCGCCGCCGCCGCCGCCGCCGAAGCAGATAGTGCGCTCTCTTCCTCCCTCTCTCTCCGCCGCAACGGAGTGGCCGCGCGGTCCCGAGGAGGGTAATATTGGGTGAGGCTCTCAACGGGCCGAGCACCGTCTGGGCCTTGAAAGCACACCGGGAAGGAAAGAAAAGAGGGCTGGGCCGGTTCGGCAGCCCTACTTTCTCTCTCTAAGATGTCTGAGATGAACCGCCCCTTCCCTATCTCTATCTCGCTGAAGCCCGGGAAGGTCGGTGGAACGCACATGGCAGCACCCAGCTCTCAACTCGAAAAAAAGACATTTTTTTAGAAAAAACGCCATTTTCAGTAGTCACATGCCATTGAGCTTCTAGAGTCAACTGTCTATATTCAGCCGAAGAAAAATCGAATCCTAAAGTGAATTAATGCGTAAATATTTTAAGTAAAACTATATTTTGATGTGAAAAATGAATTTACTCATTTTTTTTCTCCAATGAGGGGGGGTGCATAATAATGGGGGGCCATGCCTAACGATGGCTGTGGGTTGGGTCAGCTGGTGTCTAGAGAAACCCTAGCGATGGCTATGGGCTTTATACAACCTCCTGTAGGTGCCTATCTAAGAGAGAGAGAGAGAGAGAGAGAGAGAGAGAGAGAGAGAGAGAGAGAGAGATTGAGAGAGGACACCGTGGAGCAGATTGTAATGTAAAAGGGTTGTACAAACATATTTAAAAACCTAGCATGCGGCAGAGTCTACATTAGACCAAACATTTTTTGGGTTGATTTTGAGGCCCAAGCCCAAATAAAATCAGGTTTAACGAGTGTAGACTTTAAGATTAGAGATGCTGAATAATCCCCAGCCATTTCATAAATTAAATTAATTTTCAACTAAAATATAAGAAGCTACTTTTATGCATCTTGTCTATTTCCAATCTCAGAAGAGAAATGTCGATTGTATGTGAAAAAATGTTATTATAAATGAGAATGAAGTGCATTTTTGGTATTTGATGAGGTTCAAGAAAGTTTAATGATAATGAATAGTTTGATGAATATATAAGTCCCAAGTTGTTGAATGAGATCCCTTTGATGGACCTTTTTTCTTGCAAATTTGATGGGAAGAATGTATCAGTTTTTATTAAACTAATCAATCTAAATAAATAAATAAAATAAAAAACAATGGGTTGAGTATGGATATCTCCTTTCATGTTCAATGAGAGATTGTCAAATCCCCAGGGATGTAAAATGATCGATCTTAGAGAAGTTATGTGCTACTAGGTTAAGGTGGATTCATGTTAGAGAGTGGTTTTATGGTCATATCTAAGATGGCAGCTGGATTGATCACTATTAATCCGTCATCTTAATTGAGCTCAATAAAAAATGGGCAATCTCAATCAGCCAATCACATATGTTACACATCATCTATTGCCTTGTCATGTGAACTAAGAATGATTTTTAGAATCAATGAATAATGCATAAGGTAGGTAGTGCTTGCAGAATAAGATTTGGAGTCAATTTAACATTATTTTCATCTTTTGCATATGAAATATTGTCAAATCAAATTGTGTATAGGTTTGGCTAATATGGTCAACCTGAGTTGACATCTTGAATTGTTGATTTATTATGTAGGGACATGGGGAGGGAGAAAAGTTCCCTGATTCTTGTACCTTTATTGGAAAATGTTAACTTATTTGGAAATGTGTTATTTATTAGTCTGCATCTAGAGGATGCAACAATCATCTATGCTTATAGTGATTAAGTTGTTGATGTGTTCTTCTTTTCGGTAACACCAAAGATGTAGATGGAATCAAAGCTGCAAAGTAATCCACTTCCATTTCCTCTTCCCTATGTGAAGTTCAACTTTTTCTTCACACATGAAATGGTTGTTTTGAAAAGTTAACCTAGTGATCTGATTTACCAAAGTTCTTAGTCATCCTGGGTCTCCAAATTGAGCAATATAGTGTTCCACCCATAAGGATTGAATTCAATATTCTATTGAAGCCCATAGGGGTTGAAAAGTGGCCCAATAAAGAAACTTTTGTCATCTTAGTGACTCTAACTTTTGACTAATTTTTATTTAAAAATGAAGAATAAAAAATCTAAGCTACATATAATTGAGAGAGGGAATTTGTTAATCTATAATGTGAGTGAGAGGAAGATAATTAATCTCTTATCTAGGGTATACTTAGGTTATTAATGACTAAACTTTAATATAAAAAAAAGTGACAACCAAACATTAAACTATGGTTATCATTTGTGAGATAGTATTTCAAAAGTGTCACTCATGCGTTACTGATGTTCATGAGATAAGTAGGTTCATAGCTAAAAGTTGAAGAGTCCTAAATGTAATAACAAGCATCATACATGGCTTTAGAAAATCTCTTACTTGGTTATGCTTAAAAAACTTATACAAGAAAGTTGTCTTTTTTGCTACAATTTACCTAAATCATCAATATCATTTAATACAAAACTCACATTTTCTCATGAAAATTATTTAATAAATAAAAAAAATAGTATTTAATCAATTATTTTAAAAAAATTAGAGTAAAAAATTGATATCAACTTTTGAGAAGATTCTTCTAAAGTAATTACTAGATAATGAATCTTCAATTGAGTACGTTTTAGAAATACCAATGTTGTACAATGGGACCCTTGCCATAACCTCTAAGCATGAGCGTCCCCAATTTTTATTTTAGTGTTATTGACTAGAGTAGATCTTTGATAATAATGTTCTCGAGCATCCCCTATGAGGATACCACATTACATTTGAACCTGTCTAATATAAGAACATATTTGCACACTGCAATTGCTTTGGTTCCTTGAATGTTAGTGCTTACAATGATAACTTTCAGACACATGAAGATATTGTTATCTTCTAAAAATCTTTCATTAGAGAGCCTGCCTTTTTTTGTTACAATTATAAATTTTTAAAAAATATCGCTAAAATGTAAATTTTTAATAAATGATGATGAAAAAAGTATATATTTGATTTTCACAAAATGGACAAATCCAAGTCATCAAGAAATTATTTGAATTCTTGTATTAGTTTAGAATTGCTCTCTACTATCCACTAATTCAATACCATGAAGGACACAAAATAAACTATTAATATCTTTCACATTGGTAGACAAAGCTCTCCATAAATACAAATTCTTTTAGATTCCTGGTTAGAGGAGAAAATGTTGTCTTTCTTTAGTCACCTTCCATATTTCATTATATTTTTCTTTTTATAGAGTGACCCTTGCCAAAATTTAGTTCTAGTTTTCCTTCATTGTATGAAGGACAAAGGATCTACTAGAAACTCCAAAGTTTGATATATAAAATTTCAAAGTTTATAAAATTCCAAAGTTTGATTTACAAAAGATTTATAAAATTTCTTTTATAGAGGACTCGGTTTAGTAAATTCCAAAGTCTGATTTGAAAGTCAAGGACATGTGTTCAAATTATAGGGTTGAATTCGATGGTCCATTCAAGTCAAAGGGACTTTCCTCGTAAAAATATTTAGGTCTTCTATGTGGATGGGGAATTTCAAGGTTGAAGGGGGTTCAACGGAGACCATAGGTGAAAAAAATTCTTGGGTGATCTTTTCATCTACTCCTTTCAATTGTTATTCACAAAAGTAAATAATTAAGAAAGTTCTAAGCTAGAAAGATGTGGGGAGAGAGAGAGAGAGAGAGAGAGAGAGAGAGAGAGAGAGAGAGATAGGGAGAGGGATTTCCTTATGCTTAAGATCATTTGATCTTATAAAAAGGAAAATTCAGAGAGGATTTTTCTTCTTGGCTATATACGAGGGGAAAGGAGGGAGAGGAGGAGACAGAATATGAGAGGAGAGATGTAATAGGAGGATGAAGAGTTTCTAGGAAAGGGTCTCACACTAGACAAAATATTTTCGATTCCCTCGGTCTTCAGCTCGAAATAACAGACAGCATGGACAGGTTCCTTATCGGATACTTATAAACCAGTTTCGTTCAAATACCCCGACGAACTTCCCTGGATCCGATTATCGGATACTTATCAACCAGAATGGTTCCAGTACCCGATAACCATCCAAATACACGATCCGATAATGGTTCGGGTCTTCGGGACCCATCTCAAGGGGCAGGGGCTGATGTCGTTGGATCGAATCTGTTGGCTGGGAGGGCGCAGCGCTTGCGCTCTGGGTTGCCTGGTAAGAATGTGGAGAAGAACCAAAACTGAATGGTTCCGCCTACTCTAAACTCGTTCAGAACGCCCGTCTCTTTGGGTGGAGCCAACGTGTCAGTGTGGGGTCCCTGCACGTGATTTGGGGCCCACAGCACGTGGGATGGAACACGTTGGCATATCCCAACAATTTCCATAAAATATCCCATAAATTGCTTTCGGAGAAGTAGAAGATCTCCTCCTGATAATTAGTTTTTACGCAAAGATATTGCTAAAAAATTGGGGAGCATCATTTTTCTTGTTTCTTTTCCGCTGCTACATAATAAATATCTTTTGGATTTAATATAATATTAATATAATTTAAAGATAGACGGCGGACGTGCTCTTGTTCGTGCATCACCCCTCACGATAGTTCAATTTAAAGCATTAGATAGCATACGCTAATATGGCCAATTTAAACTATTTAGGGTGGGACAAAGATAGGTAGGTAGAGAGAGAGAGAGAGAGAGAGAGAGAGAGAGAGAGAGAGAGAGAGGCAAATCGAGAGATTAAGAGAGATCTTCATTACTAAACTTTAATAGAGAAACCATTGATTGACCACTAAACCGTGAGAAGGACAGCATTGATCGGCAACCATATAATAATGGACCATGTTTCACTAGATGTCGCTGAATTTAATATGTCGTTCTCGTGTAGCCAATGTAGCAGGTCCAAAACCTCCCAAGGGTGAAGGGAGAGAGAAAGAGAGATGGGGTTTGCTAGTGAGTTGAAACCAAGGAGCCACGGATATTATGAACCATTATACTATGATAATAATTCACTAGATGATGCTTATTGATTGTGCATCATTCGTGAGGACTTCGTGTCGACGGTTAGAGAGAGAGAGAGAGAGAGAGAGAGAGAGAGAGAGAGAGAGAGAAGGGAGACGTGGGGGAGGAGGGGGGATGGAACAAGCCGTGGGTTGATCAAACGCTCCGCCGACGGAGATGATCAGAAAGGCGGCGGCGTTTAACATCCTGGAGTTACTTGGAAAACACGTGCATTGACTTAAGGTAGGAGCAGCCTATTCCGTTCTTGATCAGAAAGGCAATACGCCATCAACGTGCCAATTTCCTACTTGAATTCGTACGTCACGAGACAATCTTGCCGGCGCTCGATATTACGTCACGTGGCGCGGCCCCGCCCACCTGTTTTTTATAAGAAAATCGTGCATGGTGGCGTGGGAGGAGGCTCATCCACGTGGCACAGCGTGTGGTCTCCCCGCGGTTGCAGTGCGGTGAGGTTAGTCCACCTACGTGGACCGCAGGCGTGCGTAGCCCCCTCCTTTAGAGCACGGCTTCTGTCCCGGGGACTAAACAAAAGCCGTATCCTTCGGGACGACTCCGCCAAGTGGGCCCCCTAAGTGGTCCCCGAATTCACACCTCCCCCGTCCCTTCCTGGACGACTTTTTGTAGGTGGTTGACTGCGAGATGTGGGTCCCACCTCCCTCTCTTTCTCTCTTGAGGAAGTAGAGTGGGGCAATGGAGATCTTTCTCAGACGGGCGGCAGCCATATGAAAGGAGTGAGTAAATTAAGCCAGCCTTTTTCTAAAACATGGAGCTTGTGGCACAAAAACGGGCGTCGGTTCGTAGCGGATCTGGCCAGATGGGAGAGAAGGGGAGTCATTGACCGAGGGGGGTTGGGTCAAACTTCAATAGGGCAGTCAGCGTACGGGGGAGGAAGTTTTGCCGGGCGACGACATGTGAGGTAGAGAAGGCGATCTCTCATCGGCCCCCTCCCCCCCCCCCCGCTCCCGCTTCCTCCCCCTTCTCTCCCTCAAGTGGGCATTTCTCTACCGAGAAGATCTGCTCCTCTCCCGACCACCGCCATTATTCTACTGAGTTCCTCCCTCGGGTGGGTCTTCCGAGCATCGGCGGGGCAACTCGCGGGGAAGACGATCGATCCCACTGTGGCCGGCTGAGAGTGCAGTTGGTGGGTGGCGGCGAGTTTTCCCGTATCTTTCCCCCCCGACAGCGACCTCCGGCCTGTGGGGAGCTCCTCCCCTGAGCTCATCAGCTCAGATCCGCCGGGGAACCGTTGAACGAAGAGAAGCCTCCAAGAGGAAGAAGACGCAGGCATCTCCCCCTCCCTAAGAATACGTTGCTCTCACGTACTAGAATACATACGGTCCCCTTAAAGCAAGGTTAAATCTTCAAGCCACGTGATTTTGTTTTTCTTTATTCATCGACGGGGTGCAAAACTGGCCGTTCAACGCTGTCCAGAGCAGCTCCACGGCCGGCGCCCTTCCCGTTTTGGAAAAGATCATATGCTTGACGAAAGGTAGGAGCCACTGGGGGTGCAAGTGGCCGTGGCCAGGTCGCCACCCGATGACTCGGTCGGCGACGCGACCGTTTGACTCGCTCTCGGTTCCTCTCGGGCTCGGCCTCCCCGGACCCGGCTTTACTCCCCCTCTCGCGCTGATGAAGACAAGGGCGAGGGTGGGGCAACTCTGGCCGAGGGGAACTCGGTGGCGATTTCTTTGTGGTCCACGATGCCGAGTCAGAGACAGGTAGGATCCTGATGAAGGGGGCACGAGGGACCTTCGTAGAAGGTCGTCAAGGCCGGAGCGTGGGTTCCTCGGAAGTTGCCGGGGGGACGTGGCCGGGAGATATACTGTAGACAAGCCGTGAGCAAGTGGGGGAGTTGTGGGGGCGGGACCGGTTCGATTCGGTCTGATTTCGTACCCGTTGCCCACGCTGAACATCTACCGGGTTGGTCTCGGCTGCCGGCGTCACGGCACGGCGAGTCAGGGCCCATCTCCATGCTGCTGACTTACCCCAACTCCATGCTGCTGCACTATATAAGGTCCTGATTTGCACCGAGCTTCTTGCTCTCTATCGGTGTTCAAACCAGTGCAGGAAGTAGTAGCAACTGCTCGAACACTCTCTCTCTCTTTCCCTGGATCTCTCTCTCTTAATTCCCTCAAGAGGAGCGAACGACGATGTCGGCGAGGTGAACCATTAGGGATCGATGAATCTCTCTGGAATCGCTTATATTTTGGGATCGAAAGTCCTTGGTGCTCGTTTTAGATCTAATTACTTCATCTTCTCTGCAGTTATGGTTTGGTCGGTTGGCAGATCGGCGCGGGTAAGCTAACGACGGGGCACCTCGCTAAGTTTGGTACCGTTCTGTCTCAGACTCTGTCCTCCCCTGAACCGTCTCTTCCCTCTCTGTCTCTCTTTCTCTCCTTTTTTTCTCTATCTCTGTCTCGCTCGAAAGTGGTGCAGTCGTGATCTACAATGTTCTCATCGCGTACCTTGGCTATGACCGCAGTTTGCCAGACGAGGGTTCCTCGCAATGCGAACATGGAGAAGCTTCAGAATGGATACCTCTTCCCGGAGGTTCTTCTCGCTGCTATTCTCTGCTTCTGTCTCTGTTTCTCTCTCTCTCTCTCTCGACCCACTGAACGGGAGCTTCCTGTTGTCATCGTGTTAGATTGCCATGAGGCAGCAGGCCTTCATGAAGAGGCACCCGGAGGCAGAGCTCATAAGCCTCGGCGTGGGGGACACCACGCAGCCCATCCCACGCGTCGTCACTGCTGCCATGGCAGAGGTATGCGGAAATCTCTCTCTCTCTCTCTCTCTCTCTCTCTCTCTCTCCCCCTCTCCTTACTCCCTCTCTTCTCTCTCTCTCTCTCTCTCTCCTCCCCCTCTCCCTCCCTCTCTCTCTCTCTCTCTCTCTCTCTCTCTCTCTCTCTCTCTCTCTCTCTCTCTCTCTCTCCCTCCCTCCCTCTCTCTCTCTCTCACACACACACACACACAGCTGGTCCTGTTGAGCCGGGCTTTCTTCAACGGTTTATTACCGTGACAGAGTCAAACACACAAATAAACAGAGGACTCCAACGCTCCGCATGGTTCATGGAGACCACCTAGAAATTGGACTACCCACTCCCTTCTTGAGAGAGAGAGAGAGAGAGAGAGAGAGAGAGAGAGAGAGAGAGAGAGAGAGAGAGGAGAGAGAGAGAAGCTCGGTCTCTGTGGAGTTCCTAATTATCTGCAGGGAAACTAAAGCGTAGGTTTTCCTAAGTTTGAATGTTATATATTCCTCCCCAGGTGGTCTCGAGTTGCTGTCCGGTCCATTACCTATGAGAGGTTATCGTCTGTGTCTGTACATAATATCTCTTTATTTGTCAACACATACCATATTGTACGGTAATATAAATAAATAAATACTATTAGTACATGTTTTTCAGCGCGCAGGCCAGACGTAAGTGATACGAGCCACATGTTTTCCTCCTGGGAGAGCCGTGGGGAGTACTGATTGAGAGAGAAACCCGCCGATGTCTTTGTCATTTTGGTCGTGCGTGGGTTCTAATCTGGCTCTCTCTCCCTTTCAGACATGCCACGCTCTCTCGACCTCGGAGGGATACAGAGGGTATGGCGCAGAACAAGGAAACGAGGTCCCTCATCACTCTCTCTTTCTCTCTCTCTCTCTGTCTCTCTGTGTCTCCCTCTAAAGCTTCCCTCGATTAACAGGAGCTGAGGAAGAGGATAGCGGAGGTAATCTACGAAGACATGGGGATCAAGCAAACGGACGTCTTCGTCTCGGATGGGGCGCAGTGCGATATTTCACGGATTCAGGTGGGCTGTCTTCTTCCTCTCGATGGCCCTACATCACCAAAACCCGCATGGTTTTTCTCTCGGTTTTTCCTAAGTTTTCTTCTTCTGTAGATGATGATGGGATCGAACGTGACGGTAGCGGTGCAAGACCCGACCTTTCCGGTAAGGTGTTCATCCACTGCCCATGATCGAAATTTATACTGGAGAATGACCGATAATGAAGGAAAACATGCAGGCTCGATCATTTTCGGATGGTTATAGACACAATTCAGCTGCGCAGTCTTAAGTGGTTTTTCCTCAGTTTGGAGCAAATAGACTGTTGCTCCGAGTTCCGCCCAGCCTCTTTTACCTCAAGATCATTCATCTATGGATTCTAATGATCTGAACTGACATAATTTAGAAGAAACTTCTTTCGTGATAACTTTTTTATTCAACTTGCCCGTGGATTTGGCATGTCCTTGTCCATCGAAGTCTACTGGAAAGCCCCAGGACGATGAAAACCCATTCAAGAGGGAGATGTAGAGTCGCCATCCGATGAAAGATAAGGATGATGATAGAGATGCGTGAGGGATAATCGTGGACTTGGAATATTATCATTACTTTATTATCATTATTTTTTAAACACGAGGACAGATGGGTGAATCTCGATTTCCTTCCAGGCCTACGTCGATTCGGGCGTGATAATGGGCCAATCTACATCCTTTAAGAAGGAGACGGGTGCGTACGGTAGGATTGAGTACATGAGGTGCAGCCCGGAGAACCTCTTCTTCCCGGATCTCTCCGCCACCCCTCGCACCGACTTGATCTTCTTCTGCTCTCCGAATAACCCCACCGGCCACGCCGCCTCAAGGGCGCAGCTGGAGCAGCTTGTCAGCTTCGCCAAGTCCAACGGGTCAATCATCATCTACGACTCCGCCTATGCCTCCTTCATATCCGACAGCAGCCCCAAATCCATCTACGAGGTCCCCGGAGCCAAGGAGGTACGTTCCAGACGAATCCGTAGTCGGTCCAGACTACGACAAAGACGACGACGTTGACGTTCATGAATGATCTCGATAACCCTGCAGGTCGCCATCGAGGTCTCCTCCTTCAGCAAGTTTGCGGGTTTTGCGGGGGTTCGACTCGGTTGGACTGTCATCCCCGAGGAGCTCACCTTCTCCGATGGTTCCTCCGTGGGGAGAGACTTCGACCGGATCATGTGCACCTGCTTCAACGGCGCCTCCAGCATCGCCCAGGCGGGCGGCATGGCCTGCCTGTCCCCCCAGGGGCTCAAGGTGCTCTCTTTTTCTGTTGCAGCGGCTCTATCGCGAGATTAATTAACTACACGAGCCCGCTTTTTTCATCAGCCCTTGCTTACTGATCTTTTTGAGTCGTTGAACCCTAGGCCATGAAGAAGGTCATCAATGGCTACAAGGGCAACGCGATGATGCTGGGGGAGGCGTTCGCTTCGGCTGGGCTGGAGGCCTACGGCGGCAGGAACTCCCCCTACGTGTGGGTTCACTTCCCGGGGAGGAGGTCCTGGGATGTGTTTGGGGAGATACTGGAGAAGGCGAATGTGGTCACCATACCAGGAACTGGGTTTGGCCCCGGCGGGGAGGGCTTCGTCAGGGTGAGCGGATTCGGCCGTCGGGAGGCGGTCCAGGAGGCGTGCCGCCGGCTGCGGCGGCTGTTTGGGAGGAGATCGGTGGTGGTGCGCAAGAGGGACTACAGCGTTGGGGCGACTGAGGATGCGGCCGCAGCATCGGCGCCAGTTCTCTTGCCTAGAATCTGACGGTTGCTGCCTCTACCTTGACAGATCACGTCAATCTGATCGAAAACCGTTGACCCCTTCTTTTCGCATATATTGTCAGTTAAATAAATCGTATGTAATCATTTAATTCCCAAACATTTCTATAGCTTTTCTTAGAATTTAATATCAACCGTCTGTAAGATGTAGTAACAGATATGATGCTGATGAAACTTTTGACGACAAATCGTTGAAAAAATTCTCAGTGGGGTCTGTTCTTAATATTACGAATTTATTAAATAACCGTCAAAATTAATTCAATATGGAAAAGAATTCAGAGAAGATGTATATGAATAGATTAAAAGCCTGATTATGTAATACAATGGGGTATGAAACTTTGGTCTAAGGGGCTACCTTTGCCCCAACAAACTCTAGTACTACCATTTTAAGTCAACCATTAATAACATATTTGCCTAAATAAATTGCTTCCTTTCCAAATTTTGATATATTTTTTTCAAAAATATCTATCTTAGAAAACTTCACTAAAATACCCATGTCACTGAATATGAGATGTGTAATGTTTGGTAATCTTATGAGTCATGATTGCCAAATGGGCCACAATTGAGTAACCCATATGTGGTACACAAGTGGATTAGGCCCAACTATCTTGGTGAGATTGCTGAAGGGCCGTGTTCAGCAATCACAATTTATATGAATTTATTAATTGCTCTATATACAGTCTGCCAAGGGTTATTTCCTCCTTTATGGATGGCTGGTCTTTATTAAGACCAAATATTGGTGGAATTTACTTTCATCATACTAAACAACTAACATTAATGGTGCTACCTATTACCCACTGACCCTAATAGTGTTAGTTACTTACACACTTTCCTTCATAGTCCTATCAAATCAGTTTGATAGCCATCATAGGAGTAGATGCCAAACTTTGATCAGAAATCCATAAAGACCCTCGGAGAGTTCGGTGATATGTTTTCTTTATGCATCCCACTAATGAACTACATAAGATGGAATGTAAAATAACTCACAAACATCACATGCGACTAAGTCTTGTGTCACATTTTCTTATAGCTTTAGATGCCTTGAATGATAGAAGACCATTTTTCAATGCCTTAGATTGATCTTCCAAAATTTTGCCTCTAACTTGCTTTTTGTACGAGAATCATTGGATATAAGACTTCCATGAGCTACTTTTTGGCAACTAGCCTATTAGGTAATATGCAAAGGGGTGACTCCTTTTCCTTGGAGAGTAGATTTAGTAATTTTTGAAATTCATAATCTCCCACTTTTAAAAAACTAATTTCCATAAATAAGCATTACACTTTTGTGTAAATTTTGATATTTGTGTATTTCACACGTTATATGTTTAAGTCTATACATAAATTATAACTCAAATATTGTTTACAGAAAATATTTAACTTTTGAGGGCTGAATGATTAACGAACCACAAGGATTGTCACCAAGATGTATAAAAGTGTTCTTTCAAGAAATAGACGATGATAGGACAGTAAACGTTTGGTGTTTGATTTTATGAGGATTTGTGCGAAGCCTAGTCCCCTTATATTCTATGCTTTTCCCTTTACTTTACCCTGTCAGTTTTTTTTTATTCCATTGCGTTTTAAAAGGGAATTTCCTAATCAATCGGAGCATGGTCATGTTTGATCTTTTTAAAGATAGGCGAGAAGTGTTAGGTATGCTTTACTTTGTAAACAAATAACATTGAGATAACTCATGACACAAAAAGTTGTCCTTGCACATGTACCCTAAAGCATATAGAGCATAATATTGAATATAAAATACGGCCGTCACTTTATAGATTCCATCCATTATTGCATGTATTATTGTTTCCAAAGTCAATACCGGTCTGAATTATGTGGCACAAACTTTGGACAAAGTAGCCTACCTTTTATGTGAGTCAATGGGACACTTGAACCTCCCCCTCAGCTGGCTCTCTCATTGATCACATCCTTTCAATGAGTTATCCTCGAGTCTGATGTGAAAATTCCTTTTCTTAATCAAAATTAATTAGTCGTGTAGACTTTGTTATGCATGTCTCTGCTAACATTCTTCGTCACATGCAGATCGATTTCCCAAACTTTTAACGAATTGAGAAAATATCAACTCAAACCTACTTACCATTTTCCAAGTGGTGACGGCACTCATCAGAATTTAACAAGGAATACTTATTATTTTGTGCACACATAGCGGAGTAGTGGTCCAAGACTAAAAGACAACTCGATCGATATCTCCAACCTCCGATCTCATCTATAGAATACTCAAGTAATACTTGCTGGTGAGGAGCTTTTGATACTGGGAAAGCGGCACGTACGGCCAATGGGGGCCGTCCGCTTGCGGGTCGTACTCCACCAGCGGCATTCCGGGAGCGGGGAGCTCCACTGGGTGGAGGGCCACCGCCCCCACGAGCTCCCACATTCAGCTACAGCGATGGCTTTTGAGGTGGGCTCATGCCTATCCACAGTCCTTGCTTCACTGCCAGAGCTGGCCAATAGAAGCCACCCGCTGTGCGTCCCCCCCCCATCCCCCTCCCCCCCCCGGCGCCGGGGCTATAAATCCCTCTCCTCCCGATCTGATCTTTTCGCAGTGGGAACTCGGTCGCAAGACATGGCCTCTCTGGGTGCTGCCATGGCGCCGGGCTACCTGCAGCAGAAGCTCCTCCGGGAGAAGATCAAGAGGAGGGAGGAGGAGACTGGGGCGAAGAGGGAGAAGGGCTCCTCAGGCGCCACCCAGGTGTTTCCTCTTGGCTCTCCTGAGGATCAGAGGTCAGGAGGAGCAGCGGGCCCGGCGGAGGCCGCCGGCGGCCGAGGCAGGTGACCCCGGAGGAGGAAGAAGACTCACCCTCCAAGATCGACTGTCTCGGACTCGTCTCACTGATGGCTTGTTAGATGTTTTAGATTCTCAAAGACCTAGAACTTCTCGGCAATCCTCCTGGTCTTCCCTGTGATGTGTGGAACACTGGAATATAATACTTACGAAACTCAGAATTCAAGATCCTGTTTCATGGTTCTGTCTGAATCTAGACGAAATCCCACCAAATCGATTTAATGCCAAGTGAGTCGCTAGCTTCTACTGGGGCTGTGTAGATCTTCAAACAATGGGGGGGGCAAAGAAGGATCTTTGATGGGGGAAGGTGGAGGTTTAATGCTTAAACAACGGCCAATGGCATTTATTGCATGATAGAGTCACCTTTTCCCTCAGCATGCGCTGTTGGCTATTAGTCCCAAATTCATATCCAGCGCTGTTGGTGCTCTCTCTATCTCTCTCTCTCTCTCTCACTGAGCATCCTATTATTTTATGGATTCCATGCCCTCCTACCGAGGAACCCATGAGATAAATTTACTGGCCAAGATGATATTTTCGCTAGTGAGCTTCTGATCAGACCTCATATCTCTCCTGTACATGAGGTTACGTCAAAATTTATGACGAAATAAGTGAATATGCAATAAAATTCAAGGCTGTGCGTCTCAGTAGTTTGCCCTATATGGAAATCAGTTCACTTAAAAAGCTGAGCTTGTGGGGTCTCCGACCCAGGTAGGCCTAAAAGTCCTGCGCGATTTATCTCGCCATCAATTCATCCATTTGATGTGAACTGCATGCAGATGGATGGTGACCGCCATAGTCTCTCCTCCGGCGGATGGAATGTGATCTTTGGCAGAACTCGCAGGAGCCGCCGGCGGACGGCCGCCGGGGATGTTCCTCCTCGTCAGAATATATGTTGCAGAGATTAGGGTTCCTCCTGCACCTCTGCGCCAAGTCCGGAGCTCTCAGCCGCGGCCTGTGCCTCCACGGTGCTCTCATCAAGAGAGGGCTAGACTCCGACGTCTTCCTCTCCAACCATCTCATTAATCTGTACGCGCGGTGCGGCAGAATCTCAGTCGCACGCCAAATCTTCGAAGTAATGCGCGAAAGAAATCTCATCTCCTGGTCCTTGATCATCTCCGGCTGCGACAAAGCGGGGCAAGCTTCGGCGGCCCTGGAAATCTTCTCCAATATGCCTTTCCTGCCCAATGAGTACGTCTACGCCGGCGCTATCAGCGCCTGTGCCCATCTCTCGGCGCTGTGGGAAGGGCGACAGGTCCACGCCTTCTCCTTCAAGACCGGGCACGCGGCCATCTCCTTCGTATGCAACTCCCTTATCTCCCTGTACATGAAGTGCGGCCGCTCTGATGATGCCCTGGTGATCTTCAGCGGGATGCCGGCCCCGAACTTAGTCTCTTTCAACGCCATGATCGCGGGTTTTGCGGATGATCTGCAGTTTCAGAGAAGCTTGGATCTGTTCAAGGTCATGAACCAGCGGGGCCTGCGTGCAGATCAATTCTCCCTGGTGGGCGTCTTGGGGGCCCTCGCTGGCGCTGGCGACCTCCAATCTGCCGGTGGCACCTCCCTACACTGCATGGCCCTCAAGCTCGGGCTCGACCGGTCGGCTTTCGCGGGCAACGCCGTGCTCGCCATGTACTCGAGGAGCGGCTCCATTAGAGAGGCTGAGAGGGTCTTCCAGCTGATCGAGGACAAGGACGCCGTGTCCTGCAACACCTTCATGGCCGCCTGCTCCCGCTGCGGAGACCACGCCAAGGCTCTGTTCGTCTTCCGAGCCATGGCGGAGGGCCATGGGGCAGAGCCCGACAGCTTCACCCTCGCCGGTGCGCTGGGGGCCTCCGCCGGCCTCGCTTCCGCCCACCATGGCGGCGAGATCCACTGCCACCTCCTCAGAAGCGGAGCTCCCATGGACGCCGCCGTCTGCAACGCCCTGATGAACATGTACGCCAAGTGCGGGCGCATCGGCTGCGCAGAGTCCCTCTTCCGCCTCCTTCCCGAGAGGAACCTCATCTCCTGGAACACGATGATCGCAGGGCTCGGCAGCCATGGCCGAGGGAGCCAAGCTCTGCAACTGTTCGAGGAAATGCAAGCGGCGGGCGTGCCGCCGGACTCCTGCTCCTTCTCCGGCCTCTTGGCGGCCTGCAGCCATTCAGGCATGGTGGAGGAAGGCCTCGCCCTGTTCGACTCCATGGAAGAGGAACATGGCATCACCCCTGGGCCGGAGCACCTCTCCTCCATGGTCGATCTTCTGGGCCGAGCCGGGAGGTTGAAGGAGGCTGAGGACTACCTGAAAGCTTCAAGCTTCAGCGAGGATCACGTCGCGTGGGGGAGCCTGCTCGCTTCTTGCCGGCTCCACGGGGAGCTCGCCGTGGGGCGGCGAGTTGCAGAGAGGCTTCTGGAGCTGCGCCCGCCGAGCAGCTCCCCGTACGTGCTGCTATCGAGCCTGTACGCGGTGGCGGGGCGGTGGGGGGAGGCCGCCGGCGTGAGAAGGCTGCTGAAGGGCTCTGGAGCGAGGAAGGAGCCAGGGCACAGCCTGATACAGGTGGACGGTGCGGTGGAGAGGTTCACGGTGGGAGATCTCTCCCACTCCAGGATCGAGGAGATCACGGCGACCCTAGGCCATTTGAACCAGGTTGCTAGAAAATTATACTCAGTAGCTTCAGTCTAGAGACGGGATCATATTAATCCAACATGGCCTCCTACTGTTCTTATGCTGTTCTAGTTCTTTGATTCTAGGGCTGTTTGATTTCTTCTTCTTTACTTGTACATCTCAATCTATAATTTTCTTCTTCTGATTATTATTTTCATCATAAAATAAGAAACTCATAATTAAATCTATTCATACATTTGAATCCAAAGTAGTTAATTTCCTTGAATAGTCGAAAGTAGCTAATCAGATGAAATAGCCAAATGTGAATTGGAATGAAAACGAGCAATGTGGGTGCAAAATAATGTAAGAAGTGGGTTATTTTCACAAACTTATATGGTATATATTCATCTCCTTTGATTATATCTTAGAAGAATGTGAAAACATGTACCTAAGATAGTGAGAAATTAAACCAAGAAAAAGACTTTCTATTAGTCCAATAATGCTGAATGCGAAATTTTTTCGATTAGTAAATAATTTGTTCATGTGTAGAAGATATTTAGCAAAATGGTTACCCCTCGCTCATTTGATCCTGTCTCCTTTTTAACCTAGGTTAAACTTTTTTTTATAAACTGTGCAATATGCAAACTATTTTTGATATTCTTTGTATTATCATAGGTAAAAGGGGACGAGATTTTTTTTATTTCTGATCGAATGGTTTCATGTGTTCTTGATCACATTGGCAAGGGCGAATCTCTGAAAAAATATGGAAATTTTCTTACTATCTCAGTACTCTAGAAGTTTTCACATTTCTTGGAGGAGGATTCGGAGCCCATGCCGAATGGGAGGCTGGAACGGAAGCGCCGCCGGCACCGATTTCTCACAGAGGAGCGAGGGTGAGGGAGAGGGATAGGGAGATAGCGAGAGGGGGAGACGGGAGATGGGAAACTCCAGGCGGCTGCTTCAATGGCTGCCATGGCTATCTCGCTCCGTTCCCCTTCACTCCTTGGGCCGCCCCCTCTTCCTCGCAACCCTTCGCCTCTTCTCGTCTCCTCCTGCTGTTCCTCCTCCGCCGCCGTCGCTATCTGAACCAGTAAGCCCCAATTTCATGGTCGAATACCTCGTCCGCTCTTGCGGGCTCTCCGCCGTTGAAGCAGGCAGAGCTTCCCGGTACTTCACCCACCTCAAATCCTCCAAGAAACCCGACGCCGTCCTCCGCCATCTCCGGCAGCAGGGTCTCGAGCCCCCCCACATCCGCCGCCTCGTGCTCTCCCACCCGCGGGTCCTCCTCGCCAGCGTGAAGAAGACCCTCGAGCCCAAGATCCAAGTCCTCAGGGCGGCGGGCTTCTCCGGGCCGGAGCTCGCCCGGCTGATCTCCGCCAGCCGCGCCACCCTTGAGCTCTGCAATGTCGTCCCCCGCGTGGAGTTCTGGAAGAAACTGATCGGCAGCGAGCAGAAGCTCTTCAAGACCATGGAGAGGGCCCCCCACCTGCTGAGCTACCGACCCGACGAGAGGGTCCTCCCCTCCCTCTCCCTCCTGCGGAGCTTGGGGGTCCCCGAGGATAAGATCGCCACCGTCATCCTGCGGAGGCCCAGGTTGGTCGTCTCCCACCCGGACAAGATCAGGGCAGTAGTCGAGCAGGCGAAGAGCCTTGGTGCGGCCCCTGGCATGCGGCTCTTCGCGGAAGCGCTCTCCACAGTGGCCAACCTCAGCGCCGCCACTCTGGACGCCAAATCCAGGCTCCTGCGGGGCTTCGGGTGGTCACAGGAGGAGCTCTGCTTCGCCTTCCAGAGGTTCCCCCATGTCCTGAGGTTCTCCGAGAAGAAGCTCCTCTCCGGGATGGATTTCCTCCTGAAAGAAGCCAGCTGCGAGCCCTCCTACGTCGCCCGCCACCCAGTCCTCCTGGGATTCAGCGTGGAGAAGAGGCTGATGCCCCGGTTCCAGATCCTGCAGTTTCTGAAGACGAAAGGGCTCCCTGGGACAAACGTCGATCTCTGCACCGCCATGGCCATGCCTGAGAAGAAGTTTCAGGACAAGTTCTTCGTCCCCAACCGCGAGAAATTCTCTGAAATCTTTGAAACGTACTTCGCTGCCTGTGGAGAGAAGCCTTCCAGATGATGCCTGCTGAACCTCGAGCTCCTTTTCCGGACGTCGATTCTCATGGTTCCTTCGCTGTAATCTGGATCTTAGAGCATCGATGCAGATGATTTTAGATTCGGCCTTAAGTTCTTCAGATTTCTTGACAACATCGTCCGTCATCTTCTTCTTGTTGTGTTCATGAAACTGTAATCCGTCACATCGCATTTATCTGGAATTCTTTCTACTTGTCTCCCGACCCTGCAATCTTAGTGTGCATCTAACCTGAATTCATCCAGTAATAACTCTTTATCGCTGCACAGTTCTCCCAATCTTTAGCCAGGAACATCAAACCGAAGAAGATTTATAGAACACGCGAATATGATCGATTTAGGAACTATCCCTCGCAGAAAGATTATCAGGAACTTTATTCAGTGGGCGTATTTCATGCACTGTAATCTATTCTAGATTTCAGGGTAGAGAGAGAGATTGGTCGTCATCCAGTCGCATTAGAAGCCTTAGCGGAGATTCACCGTTGGGTTAGATGTGGCCTAGGAATGCTGAAATAATGGCCCAATAGCGGAAAGAGAAGTGCCTCTCCCCTTCCTTATAGGCGTTGGGGGAGCTACTGGAAATGAACAAAAGTGTAACTACAAGAAAGAAGGAGAAGATAATCGGGTGGGTATCGCCTGGAGAAGAGGTAGGCTGAGGTTTTGAGAGGAAGAATTGGCGTGAGCTGAAGGAGAGTGGGGGGCTAAGACTCTGTTCTTGAGCTGTGGTTCGTGAACTTGAGGTTCCCATCACTTGGTATCAGAGCAATACGATCCAGAGAAGATGACACCAAAGGGCAACAAGCTTGAAGGCCTGGAAAAGGAGGTGGATGAGCTGAGGGAGGGGCTGCACTGCATACCTTTGATGGAGGAGGACATTCGAAAGATGTTCAAAAGAGGAGAATCCATGGAGCGGACCATCGAAACCCTAACAGCTCTACAGAGAACGGAAGGGAACCTAAAGCTTCTGCTGGAGGGGACACATTCCAGCGACAAAGAGAAGACTTGTGCCGAGGCATGTTGGGCCGAAAGACTATGTAGTGAGGATGCGGAGAGGAATGAATAGATCTGGCCACGCTACAAGGGGGGAGACAGCTGGAGATGCTCTCATTCGGAGGAAGAGATTTTGGGAGTTGAATCTTCTGAGCAGAAATGTACTTAGAGGTGCAGATTGTCTCAAAGAAGAGCGAAGTGAGACAGGCAGAAATGCATTTCGAAGCTGAAGCAAGAGAACCCTTCAATGGCTGATAAGACATCAAGCGACGAATCACCGAGAGGAAACAGGAGGCCGTTGGGAGACATTCTTGGGTATCTAACAAATAGGGGGGCTATCAACGAATATAGACGAGACTTTGAACTTCGATCCTCGGCACAGGAAGATCTCCCGAAAAGACCTCTACAAGAAATAATTGTCAAAGGGTTGAAGCTAGAGATCAAGACAAAAATTAAGTCTCAACAACGAGATGGACACCGCCCATACTATTGAAGAGGGACAAAACCCTCAAGGTGGCCATAGAGCCCACAAAACCAAGGTTGAACAGACCGCTGAGTCCAAGGAGGAATGGGTACATTCGTGAGCCGGGGTACAAGCCTCAATCCTGCATCAGTGGGATAGATTGATGTTAATCAGAAGACCTGAGGAGTGAAAAGGTGACTTACCCTTACGGAGTCGTAACTTTTGGAGCAGCGTGCAAAGAGTCTTTACTTTTCGTGCGACAAGAAGTATGGTCTAAGACATTGCAGCTAATTTTGCAACAGGGAGGAATTGACTAAAGAAATCATGTCAAAAGAAGAAAGCAGGATGGTCATGGTACAAGAGATAGCAAAACAGGCCTAAGTCGAGCTATCCATGCATTCAGTCATGGGTCTAACCGAGGTTGGCACAATGAAGCTAAAAAGGACGGGTTGTGAGGCAATCCCCAACTTTATCGCTAAAGAGCTGGTAGAAGAGCTCTAATTGCCCCTAACAACTACGACCAATTATGGAGCTATCATGGGAAACAATGTGGTAGTGATGGGAAAGCGAATTTGAAAAAGAGTTACCTTTGAGATGCAAGGACTATCAATTATTGAAGACTACTTCCATTACAATTGGAGAGTACAAATCAAATATTAGGAATGCAATGACTGAAGACATTGGACCCTATAGTAGTCCTGAGGTTCAGTGCAAGTGGATTGCTGGTCACCTTGAGAGGCTACCCAACCCTAAGCTGAGCAGGTATATCTCTTAAATCTCTTACTCACAAACCCTAACAGGAGGTATAATGTATCATCGAGCTGCACTAGTTGATCACAAGGGGGACACTCGAGGACCCACAGCCTGTTGATAAGTTATGGTACAAACTACAGCAGGTGTACCCAAAAGTATTTACTGAACAAGAAGGGCTGCCATTTGTCTCCAGCCAGTAGGGACACGTGTTAATGCCCACCCTAAAAGTACACCCACTATCAAAAATCTAAGACTAAAAATATTAGTCCAAGGCATGTGGGGTGTTGGTATTGTTCGGCCATTATTGATGTCCTACATATGCCCCACCTTACTTGTAGTTTTTGTGTTGACTACAAGACCCCTCAATGCTGCCACCATTCTCCTACTTATTCTAATTGTGGATGGGCTAGTAGATGAACTGCATAGGATCAAGGTTTTCTCAAAACTTGATTTTAAATTGGTATATCACTAGATCCTTAGAAAGGAGGACATACATAAAATGGTTTTTTAGATACACAAAGGCCACTAGAGCTCTTAGTGATGTCATTTTGATTGAAGAATATGCAAGTCACTTTTCAATCCTTGATGGACCATATTTTCTATGTGTTAAAGCTAGATTTTCTGTTTTAATTAGTTATATTATTTTATTTTGTTAACCTTCAGAATAAATATAGGAATATATTGTCAAATTTTAGAATTCTAATGTTAAAATAGTTAGCATAATTTTTTATTATTTATAAAAATAAAAGAATAAAATATCACTGCCCGTGGCAAGCCGGCACTCGGCAATTAACCTAGGGGGGCTGTTGTGGTCGAGTGGGTAGACCTAGACTAGGGGACCGACCACAAGCTGGGCTTGATTGGCAGAGGACTCATTTCACACATGTGTGCATCACTCCCCTACCATGTCCCAGTGGCCAACTGGTCGTGGGGCAAAAAGTATCATACACACATGTTCGTGCGAGGGCAGACCACCTTTTTACCTTCACCCAAAATGGTTCTGACCATTATTTTATTTTGGGAGAAGGGATCTCTCCTCTAAAAACATAGCTTAGATTTATATTCAGCTCAGTTGTCGAAATATTTTTGATGTGGAATTAAATATTCTTGTATGTTTTAGGGCAGTCATAAGAAGCACGGTGTGATCTAGAGGTATTCTATGAGCCACAATATCAGATAAGCCAGATTCTATGACTAGTCAGCCACCACGATCTTAGAAGTATTAAGTAATCCATCGGCAGTTCATGAATCCAACACCACTCAATTGAGACTATGACAACTAAGGAGGTGCCATGGTACTAGGAACCTGAGTTCTCAATCGATAGTGGTTTGTGGTGAGTTGTTCCTATGTCACTCAATGCACCACATGACCAAGCACATTTGATCCAACGACTTGTAAAGCATCATGATATTGAGAACTTAAGTTCTCACATATATCATTGTTAGGAATATAAAGATAATAATATATTATTTTCTAATAAAAAAGATATTATCAATTATCTTTAAGATCTCGATAGTAGTTGACGTGACTCAGTCGTTGTATATTAAATCACACAAATATAAAATTTATAAAACTAGAAAATACGAATTTTTAGATATTTAGAAGTATTTCTGAATAAATATATCACTTATAATTCAATAAAACTTCCAAAAATAGCAGTAATTTTCCAAGTCGATCACAGAGATGTAATATAATATCTGGTAATTATTCAGAATTTTTCTCAATGAATACGATTTTCTATGAATTTTATACTAGGAAATGAAAAGGAAATATATTTAAAATTCACAAAAAAGAAGAAAATAAGGGTGCGGATGTCAGGATGATGTCAGCACCCGGCGAACGTGAATCGGGCGGAAACAGAGTTCCGCCCGGTGATTCTTACGTAAGTGATTACAGACGATTTAATTAATCAAATTAAGATCTGTAAAAGCCGAAAGAATTGTAATAGAACAAAGTATAATTTGGTAAATTAAAATCACAAAAACTATCACTAAATGAAGCGTAAAGTAAGTTTGAAAGCAGGAAAACAAAGTTCTGGCGTCGCGACGGCGATGCGTCGGCGATGCGCCGGAATCCTGAGCGTTCGGGAGGATCGTCGTGCAGTGTCCACGGCCTCGAAGGCTCTCCTTGGGCAAAGATGACATGGGCAATCTCTAGATCTTCTCGTGAAGTCTAGAAATTAATGAAATGGGTCGCCGAGTCATCTCCGACGGCTGTCACTTGGCGAAGCAGAAAAATGGCGACTTTGCGGCTCTCCGGTGGCTGTCACCCGACGGAGAGGAGCTGGATGGAGGTGGGGCGCGTGTCAGGGAGCTTCATCCTCAGGTCTGCGTAGCAAGAGGAGGCTCTTCATCGCATCTAGTACGCTCTCAGGAGGTGGCGACTCGTCTCCCGGCGGATCATCCTCTTCCCGACGACGGCTTGTTCGTCGATCAATCGGAGATGATTTACTCGATGGATTTGCGATCCTTTTATCGCGAATCGTTCAGCAACTTTAGTAGCAATGTTCTGCGAATCGCGTTGACGAGATTTTTGCCGATGATCCAGCGATTCTGGTTGCTTAATCCTTCACCGGCGATATGCAGGAAAGTCGCGATAATCAGATAAAAATATATGAATTTTGACTCTGGGAGGATTCAAACCCGCGCCGATTGTCCGCCCCTTCTGAGGAAGGTGTGACGCAGGTTTAGTCCCACATCGGTTGTGCGCCGATTTTTCGTGTGAATATATAGTAATGTTAGCTTTCTAAGCAAAGTTCCTTCTCTTGCGTGTACGACCACTCCTTACCCCACAGCCGGCTGACCACCGGTGACGTGGAAGGGGAGTGGCGCACATGTGTCCCCATCGGTCCAAGCCACTCGAGCCCCTGCTCGCGGCTACTCTCCGACTGAGCTTCCGACCCGCTTGCTGGCCCGGCTGGCTGGCGGGTCCCCCTCATTTTGTCTTATTTTTATTTCTTTCTCTTCATTTATCTCAAAAGCAAGACTGTAAAAATCATATAAATTCATGTAAAATCACCTAATTACCTAAAAATTCACATTAATCAACTGAAAACCACTTTTCACACTTTAACACAAATATAAGTCTATTTATCATGAGTTAAGGCTAAAACTATATTATTTACTAATTATTAACTCATGATAATGAAGACTTATCAGAGAGCATCTTGATCTTCCAGATAGAGAAGGCCATCTTGATGCTTAAAATATCCAGTCCTTTGCCCCAACACCTTATCAATTAGAAAACATGCATCATCTTTAAGAATTAATTTGCACTTACAATCTTACATAAGTTTTTGTAAGGATATAAGATGTGCCTCAAGTCTAGGCACATGAAGAACATCTTTAAGTGTACGCAACACATTAATTTTGATGCTCCCAATACTTGCCACTGATAAGATTCCTCCTCCAACTGTAAGGACCTTATGTGGCCTATTTATCTTTGCATAATTAACAAATCTAGAGATATTTGGTGTCATGTGATATGTGGCACCAATATCAATAATCCAATTTATTCTATTAGATTTTGGGATAATAGTATTATTGAAAAATACTTTGTTTTCACCTGAGCATGCCAATGAGGTAGAACTCAGCATGCTTTTGAGTCGCTTTAGTTCTTCTTTTATCTTCATAAGGTCTTTCCCACTTTCATGAGCATGCTCTCCTATTTGCTCCTTTGATTGCCCTTGTTCTCCACCTTCATGACTCTAAGAAGCAGCAACATTTACTTTTCGATTTTGTTGGGGCTTACCATGTAACTTCTAGTAGGTTTCTATGGTATGTCTTTTGCGTTTGCAAAAAGAACACCAAAGACTATCTTTATAGTCATTTGAGGCCCTCTGTCCTTGATCAATTGAATTCTTCTGATTTTGCTGAACTTCTTGACTTGATTTTTTTTCAGTTTTCTTGGTGAAAAATGCAATTGGGCTAGGCCTTGATGGATCTAAGAGTAGACATAGTTGACTCTCTTCCTCCATAACAATACTAATGGCTTCATCCAAATCTGTTGCCTCTCTCTATGTAGGATATGACTTCGAAGACTCTCATATTTTGGATTTAAAGCCATTAAGAATATAAACATTCTCTACTTTAATATGTAATTTCTTTCTTCGGAGTGAAGATTTTTCACAGGGCAATAATGATCAATCTTGCACCATATAGCCTTCAGTTCACATGATGACTCCATGATTGTCTTCTCTCCTTGTATTGCCCTCATTGTTTTAGCATTCAGCCCATAGATCTTCCAATCATTTTGTTGCTTAGGGCAATTCTTGTGGACTTCACTCCACAATTCTTTCACAGTAGCCATATAAAGAAAGTTATCACACATTTCCACTGTCATGGTTTCAAGGAGCCATAAATGAATAAAGACTTCCTCAGATTTCCAAATTCTATAATTTGGATCATTCATACCAATAGAATCATCAATTAGATGCTCCAACAAACCTCTCCCAAGGAGGGTTAACTTCACAAATTTCTCCCATTGGTATAATTTGGTACCATTAAATTTCAAGCACTCAATCATACTTGGCAGCATATACATTGTCTTGTCTTAGCCACCAACAATTGCTGTCATGACTGAGTTGGATGTAGAAGTTTCTTGCCTCATTGACATCTCCTGTTTCTTGATTCTTGAAATCAAGAATTTCTCTCAATTGACCTCTTGAATGCTTGCTTCTAATTGATGGAAGGTGTGTCTTTGTCCTTGTGATGCTTCATGCCTCGACCAGCTCTGATACCATGTCAAACCAAAATCTTGGTCTTCTTGATCAAGTCTTCGCCCTCCCTTCTCACTAGAGCCGGTTACATTTATAGTGGGCTAAGCCTTCTTATTTCTGAAAAAAGAAATGGAGAGCTCATTAAGTAGTTTATAATTGACTCACTTAAGGACCCAAATAGAAGAGAGACACTATAATAACGAGATCCTAGCTTGTATGATAGCAACACCATTTTGCTGTGAAGTGTGAGGACATGTGATTTGGTGGGGGGTGCCACGATCATTGTAGAAGGTGTAGAGAGATGCTTGGACAAACTTAATAGTATTATTAATATGAAGAATTTTACACGTAGTGGTGTATTGGGTGATAACTTCGATGATGAAGTGGGTAACTATGGTGACAACCTCAAAGTGATCATGAAGGAGGTAGACCTAACTCACACAAGTGTAGTCACCAAGATGGAGGTAAGTACGAGATGGACCCCATACATCGCAATGGAAAAGGTCAAAGAGAGTTGAAGAGGAGATGCCATCATGACTAGGATAAGAAGTATGGTGATGTTTGTCTAGTTGACAAGACTCGCACACAAACTTAGAAAGAGAAAGTCATGATAATTTTTTTGTAATTTAGAGAAACAAAGATGGTCAAAACGATGATGCCACAAAAGAGAAGTAGTCATAGAGGCGAAAAAAAAGGTTTGAAGGCCAGATGAGGGTTCATCAGAAATGAGTTCATAGACACCTTGTCCATTTTCATGGCCTAAACCAATCTTCCATTTAGTATGTAGATCTTGAAAAGTACAGTGAAAGAGAAAGAATGTGATTGTATAAAAAAGGACATATGTAATAGTATTGATATAAAGAAGGTTAGTAGAAAAACCAAGAACGTAGAGAACTTGGGTGAGGTAAAGGGAGGGAGAAGCCAAGGTGTCACTATGACCTTTGACCAGACAAGTCTAGCCATCAACAATAATGACTGAAGTATGGGTCAAGGTAGGCTAATAGAAGAGAGAATAGTGAGGATACTGATCATGTGGGTGGAGGCCCCCGAATTAATAATCTACGATGTCAAAAAGGAAGTAATGAGAGCATGTGTACCTGCCGTGGAGGAGGTCGGAAGTGAGGTGAGACTAGCAGAGGTGGAATTGTCAGTATTATTGACATAGAGAAAGGCATCAAGGTCATGTGGAAGGTAGGAGTTGAAACATGAGATGGAGTAGGAGATGCTAGAGTTGGAGAAGTTATCGATAGTTGTGTGGAAATGGGCTTACTAAACTATTTCCAAGATTTAGTAGTCGGATGATTCTACTTCCCACAATAAAGACATAGAGGAAAAGTGTTGTGCCCACATCCACGAGGAGTACAACCACTATTAGGACAAGAAGGAGGGGTATCATTTCAAGCCCGCGAAGTAACAATGGTAAGAGCCGAAGGAGTAGAGGTGGCACCTGAAAAGGAAGAAGAAGAGTGGATGAGGGTATTAGTAGTGACCCGAAAGATTGTCGAGAAGATGGAGGTGAGATCAAGCACACAATCCTCAAAGAAAATTGTCCCCTAGATTTGAGATGTGATAGATGAATAAAGTCCACTGAGATAAATCCTATCATAAAACTTCTAGTGATAGCGATAGAGGGTCAGGAGGTCAGTAATAAGGGGCTGATAGATGTCAACCTCCTAGATGAGGGCCTAGAGGCAACCGTAGTGGGCCTAAAAAGAGAGATCGCCTTCTTTGCAGGAGAGAAGAGACTCAAAGTTCTCCACAACTCAACCAATGTTCGTTCAATTGGCATACATAGTTTCTATAGTGAGTCACAAAAGTCGGGCCCAAGTGATGCGCGCTAGTGGCTTGACAATGCTGGGCTTGATGCTCTAAAGCATCTATGTAATGACGGCTGAGTCAAGCTGCGATCATGTCACATATGAGGGGTCTTGAAGGCTGGGTGGTTCCTCCAAGAGGTGATGGAGGAGACTGTGAGATCTAAAGAAAAGCTCGAAGTTAGATGCCCATAACGCATAATTATGGCCATTGAAGATGTACGTCAGTTGAGTAAGTTACGTTGTGATGGAGTGGCAAGCCAGAGGAACTACTAAAGAAGGGAGAACACTAGCTGGAAGAAGCTTAGAGGGCTCAGAGGTAGGTGATGGAGGGGGGTGAGATGACGCCATGAGGCCTACGGGTCTAGGCTGGAGCGGCAGGTGGTGGGGTGAGCAAGTCGGGGCCGGACGGGCCAGTCTAGAGGGGCAGCCAGAGCTGATTGGGGCCGGCTGGGGCTGGCTGGGGCCGGTTGGGGCCGATTGGGGCTGACTAGGCCGTGCTGGGCAGGTTGGGCCATGCTGGGCAGGTTGGGCCATGCTGGGCCTGCGGATCCATGTGGGGGCCAATGGGTCCAGCTGGGCCGGTCCAGAGTGGGCTGGTCCGGAAGAAAACCACCTGCTGGCTTGCTGGGAGACAGGCAAAACCATAGCCACCGCAGCCAGACGACAATAGTGATGGCAAGGGCTGGGGCGCAATAGCAACGGAGCGACGGCAAGGGTGCGATGGCAAAGGCGTGATGGTGAGGGTGCGATGGCAAGGGCGTGGCAGTGAGGGCGTGATGACGAGGGACCTCGATGGCAGCAGTGATGCCCTCGGCATTTGAGAACGACAGTGCCTGTAACAGCACGATAGTGAGGGCGCGACGGCGAGGAGGGGCCTCAACAGTGATGGCGACAGTGGAGACGTTGGAGAAGAGGAGAGCAATGGCACTGGCGAGTGGTGATGGCGGCAAGGAGGGCAGCGCCGAAAGGAGACACGATGGTAGAGACAACGATGTTAGAAGAGGGAAGAACGGCGATGTTGAAGAGCCGCCCGAAGAGGGAAGAGGCCAGCGAGGAAGAGAGTGGCGTGCCAAAGACAAGCAGCGCACTAGAGAAGAGGAGGACGATGAGGGATACCTAGGGCTTTGATACCATGTTGACATGAGAGGAAAACCTAGAATTCATGTAACGTCAAGGTAGAATATATGTCTGTTATATAGGAGAGAGGAGAGATGAGAGAGAGAGATAGATAATGGGCCTTAGTGGGCTGAGAGTCTGATACTAGTATTGAACAAATTGTACAGAAGTTCTTACATAAATGAGACTTTAAATGCTTGAACAACATCTAAATTTCTCTTCTTTTTGAAGTTTAAAGATGAACATTTATCGCATTAACTCCATAGAGGAGACTTTGTGCCTCTCACCCCTAATTTTCCTTGCCTCCTTTGCATGACCTTAATGTTAGCTGAAGCACCCCTTTTGATGTGTGGCATCTGTGATCATTGAACAATCACTTAATGGCTAGAAAATGGTTTGAGTAAAAGTTGGAATGCTAAAGAATATTCATTAATAATTTAAAAATGATAAAAAATGCAAATCACTAAATTATGAAGATGCGCATGTTGCTTTGTGCTTGCATGACAATTATCTTTCTAGTGAGCACTTACACCTATTTTTGCGAACTGCATGCCTATACATGAATATGAACCATTTTGCATGAGCTTATTTCTCCCAGTTTAATATCTGATTTAACATATTGCGATTACATATTATATAACATAATTTCACCAGTCTTATCATACCATATCACCCTTGCCCTCATTGTCTAAAATAAGCATCGAAGAAGTTTTATATTTAACATATTTATTAAGTCATTTGTAACTATAAAATAATCTAATTCACGGGTATCCCTTTGAATACAGGTAATCTTAGCCCTGCATCTTGCATCACTAAAGCCTGAATCTTAGATTTCTTTTGTATTATTTCCTTCAATTCGAGTAGCCGATTTTATCTACTCTACGGCCTAACTAAGTTACCGTGATTGCCTGTCCAGCAGAGTTCAGCCCATATAACATGAAAAAAGTTCATATTTGTGATCACCTTATATAACTAAATGTGGAATATTTAAAATGGTCCTCACATAAATGGGAGGGTGTTAATTTAATCTTATAAATGTATTTATAATGACTGTGACATTCTCCCTCAATCGATAAGGCTGGGCCGCCCCAGCCTCGCAACCGCACCTTTCCGCCCCCAAGAGAGAGATCGTCACTCCACCCAACTTTCCTCTCCTACCGTGTTCTCTGGGGAACACTATGCGGACCACCCCTGCAGGTCATGTCAAAGAAAATGTCAACATGAGAGAGAGAGAGACGGCTCATCATACGTCGACTTCAGAGCAACAAATGCATAATAATGATCTTTGGGCTGTCTTTGTCACCATGAGAGAGAGTGAGTGAGAGAGAGAGAGAGAGAGAGGCTATGACTGGTTGTTCCAAACAAGGGATCAACATGGAGAGCTGGCACTTCTCTCTGACCGTGAATTAAGTCCAAAGCGAACCCACCATTCCACTGTTCTACCGTGTTCCTGGGGAAACGCATGCGGACCATAAAGCTCTGCAGGTCAATCAAGGCAGATGACGACGGGAATCTGTTTAGGGTTAATAATTGGTCTGCTCCCACCGCCCCAAAAAAGAAGTTTGTACAACCCTGGAAATCCCGAATGAACCCCGATCATTTGCCTCTTGGTGCCCACAGATGACTAGGACAGCCTGGGTGTGAGATCATTGCCCAAGAAGGGTCTTCAACGCCACTGGAAAGGGTAAAGTTTTCGCACCACGGGCTGTAATTGCAGGAACCGTCCGCTGATCTTCTTCCCCCATGCCGGCCACCATCTCCAAAGCCATGGAGATTCTTCTCCTCAACAGCCTTTATACTCTTCTCTTCAGGGCTCCTCCCTTCTCCAGTGCGCAGGGGCGGGAGAGACTCAATATCGGGGACTCGCTCTCCGTCGAGAGGGAAGGCGACGAGCTGATCTCCCCCAAAGGAACCTTCGCCGCCGGCTTCATCCAGGTCGGTGAAAACGCTTACTGCTTCTCCATCTGGTACGCCCGCCGCCCCGGAGAAAAGACGGTGGTATGGATGGCGAACAGAGACAAACCAGTCCCGAATACCAACTCCGAGATTCACCTCAACAAATACGGCACTCTCCTTCTAATCAGCGGTGGCGAGGGCAAGGTATGGGAGTCGGCCACCGCATTCAGGAGGGATGGGAAGACGCTGGAGCTGCTAGAGACGGGAAACCTGGTTCTCACGAACGGAACTGGGGAATTTGTATGGCAGAGCTTCGCCTCACCCACCGACACCCTCCTCCCCGGCCAGCAGCTCACGAGGAACACCGTCCTGGTCTCCAATAGAGACGCCGGAAACTATCTGCCAGGGTCTTACAGCTTCAAATTCAACGACGATAATGTGCTCTACCTCATCTACAGCGGCCCCGAAGTCTCTAGCGTCTACTTTCCCCTGCAGGATTCAGCCGTATACGCCCAAGGAAGATCCAACTTCAACAGCACTAGGTTGGCGGCGATAGACGACATGGGAGCTTTCTCTTCCAGCGACTTGTTTCACTTCAGCTCCTCGGACTACGGGAGAGGGCCGCGCCGCCGCCTGACGCTGGACCATGACGGTCTACTCCGGGTGTACAGCATGAAGGAGCCTAACTGGGCGTGGGAGGTCGTCTGGTTCCTTGATATGGGGGTCTGTAGGGTTCACGGTCTGTGCGGAAGCTACGGCATCTGCATCTACGCGCCGGAGCCGACGTGCACGTGTCCGCCAGGATTCAGCAGAAAAGACCCGTCGGACTGGTCTAAAGGCTGCTTGCTGCCCTTTAATCTGACGTTCGATCAGGCAAACGTCGACTTCCTAAAATTTCCTCGGACGGATTACTATGGCTACGACCTCGATACGTTTAGTCAAGACGTTTCCTTGGAAAATTGCACAGAGACCTGCCGGAAAGATCACAGGTGCAAAGGCTTTGGATTCAAAGACCGTACGTGTTATCCCAAGTTCGTTCTCCTCAACGGCCGAAGGACGCCGAATGAACCAAACACCATCTACATAAAGGTCCCGACGGCTATGGCTGGAAAGGAAGGTGAAGGCTTGGCGCTGATTCAATCCAGCATAAACGGCTCCGGCAGGATTATTAACACTTCCAGCGGGAAACCACCCTCGGACGGCGTCAGAAACCTTTACTTGCGGTACTTGGTTGGATTCGTAGGAACTCTCGGCGCAATGGAGGTTGTCCTCATCGTCCTGGGTTGGTATTTCATCAGGAGGATGAACCGTAGTACGGAACCGGTGAAGAAAGGATACAGATTACAGCAGGCGATGGGCTTCCGGAGATTCACCTATACAGAGTTGAAGAAAGCGACGACAAATTTCAGCGAGGAAATCGGCAGGGGAGGCTTCGGGCAGGTCTACAGAGGCCTGTTGGAAGACGGCAAGACGGCGGTTGCCGTTAAGAGGCTCGATGGGGTCACCCAAGGGGAGGCCGAGTTCTGGGCGGAGGTCGCCGTCATCGGGAGGATCAACCACATAAACCTGGTGAGAGTGTTGGGGTTCTGCGCCGAGGGCAAGCATCGCCTCCTGGTCTACGAGTACCTGGAGAACAGATCCCTTGACAAGCTCCTCTTCTCCTCCGATGCCACCAAGGTGTTGGACTGGGAGAAGAGGTACTCCATCGCAGTGGGGACGGCGATGGGCCTCGCGTACCTGCACGAGGAATGCCTGGAGTGGGTCCTCCACTGCGACGTGAAACCTCAAAACATCCTTCTGGACGAGCACTTCCGACCGAAGCTGGCCGATTTTGGGATGTCCAAACTTGCAGAGACGGGGGCCGGCGGAGGAGACGCTTGCCGGGGTAAGTTCGAGGTATCCAGAGCGAGGGGCACAAGAGGGTACATGGCCCCAGAGTGGATAAGCAACCAGGAGGTCACCGCCAAGGCGGACGTGTACAGCTTCGGCGTGGTCCTGCTTGAGTTGGTCACGGGCAGAAGCGCATCCGGGGCCAACGGGGGAAAGTGGAATCAACTAGTCCGGTGCGTGAAGGAAAAGGTTGAAGAGCGGCAGCACGAAGGAGGAGCCGTAGAGGAGCTGGTCGACAAGGGGCTTCAGGGGGACTACGACATGGCTCAGGTGGAGTTGTTCCTGAGGGTTGGCCTGTTATGCGTGACGATCAACAAGGACGAGCGGCCAACCATGAGTGCAGTGGTGGGCCTTCTCCTTGGCGACAAATTTTCTCCACTGGCCAACCCGCTGGTAAAGACGCCAATAGGTCGCAGCTAACCAATCTAGAAATCCTCTCGTCGCAATTTCAAGTAGCATTCTTCAAGGTTTATCTTGATCGCTTTATTTGGTTGTTGCTGCGGAGCCTCTGATGGAGAGATGATGACCTCCTCTTTGACTGTGTCGAGTAATAGGTACTTTTCTTTCTTTCTGAGCGCTGAGGATCTCCGGATTTGATTTGGTGTTGGTGTCCCTCTGTTGGAGGGTTCAACAGTCAGTTACGAAAACAGTTAACAGCTGGAAATCGAACGATTAGTTGAAAATTAAGTGAATACAAAAAAAAACCTGCAAATTTCTTTGAGCTGTCTGGTACATCTTCTCCATCTTTGAAATACTTCCAACGATAACTTAGGTCTAAATATTGCTTGAATAAATAGGTGTTAGATTTCACTTGATCTTTATGACAAGATAATTTCTCAATTCAATGGGAAACCTGAATTTACTACGGCTGTGTTGGTTTAACATTAGTCATCAAAACACCTCATTAATTCACTATCGTGAATTGGGCACCTAGCTTGCAATAGATTGCTCTGAATTTTGTGCCCAGTGGACAATTTGAAATGTTATGTACATTGAATTGAATTTTCTTGTGTTTATTCATTAAAAATGATAATTAAATTTCACAGATTGCTCCAAAAATTAAAGTTTTTAATCCACGATTGACAAAAGTATTCTGGACTTGACGTTCAAGTGAAAGTTCTAATAATTGTGCAGAATAAACTGGCCACTTTAAAAAATAAAGGATTAACACTAATAATGAACCATCTGTTCATTGATCTATAATAAATAAAGCATTAAGAGAATATAATAACTAAGGTGGAACAAAATTTTGAATCTCGTAATCAGAAAAATCAAGATTTCAATAGAGACAACTGTCATTCTCCAATTTTTTTAAAATAATGAATAAATCTTCTTCCATTGTCTTTCCCTATGTTTTCTACTGCAACTCAAAAAGTGTACCATCAAATAGTTTGTTTATATCCTCATTTTTTAGTATAACTATTTGACCCTTTCAACTATGCATGTTAGATAGTACAATATATGTATTTGATAAACTATCTATGAGTATGTTGATACTGATATCTCATTTTCCTAAGAGATTAACTCAACACACTGATTCACTAAAAATAAAGGAAAGGGAGGAGAAAACATATTTTGACACACCAAATAAATGAAACTTTAAGTATAATCACTATAACATGATATACGTCCATAATGACATATGGCACTTGGCCTAAACTACAAATGATGTTAATTGTTATTTTCACACTTCACAAGATGTTATCAAACTTGATCTATTTAAGAACACTGTGGGTCAGATTATTTGAGTAAAATTAGAGCACATCTATTCTGTCAAAAAACTAATTGAGTAAATATTTTTAACTTTCTGTCAAAAAACTAATATTTTTAACTATACTATTCTAAAAGTAGCTCGCTTAAGTTCATCTAATTCCGAATAGTATAACTACTGAGTATACTAGCATTAGCTGGTTTCTAAACTACTAGACTGTTAGGTTTGGGTCTCTTACCATTCACTATAGACCGAAGTGAATGAATGTAGAAAAGTTGGAATACTTTAAAATAAATCACAATTACGAATAAGTCAGATGCAACAATTATACAGACATTACATAAAATAGAGTGAAAAAATATCTAAGAAATCAGTTTGATTATTATTAATAATAATTATGGAACATTTTTTAAGTTCTTGTACGGAATGGACAAATTCATTTCTATTGTAATGTATAGATGTACAGATACTCTATTATCACTCAACAATGTTTGACCATTTATGATGGTCCCTCTCATGAAAGGCTTATTAATCATTAATAAATATTTGATTCAGATTTGCGACTGCTTCTTTAATTTTGTAGTAGCAAGTATCAGTTTAATGCTAAGGGAATAAATTGCGTAAACTCAGTCTTCCGTCTCCTGCGGGCTGCGATCTTCGGTCCACGGACACGGCGATGAGCACGCAGGGGCCAATCTTGGTTGAAACCGGTAAATAGAAAGATTGACGTCATTTAATGCGACGGAACTTGCCGCACTGCCTTCCGTGCCCCGGCCGGTGGATCGCGCCGCGATACCAAGCGAGAGTTTATATTTACACTCGGCGGATCGCTGCCGCCAGACGCTGGAGCACGCCGCCACCCTCAGGCCTTGCAGCTTTGACGAGTCAAACAGTGCATCGGCAGTCATCTGGACCTTGAATGTCGCGCGTGTTAATTCTCGGAAAAAATTACGTTTCGGTTGTGGAATTAAGTCCATCGAAAATTAATAAGGATCTGAGACTATTCAACTATTCACGTGGGTTCGAGCTTCAACCTGTGCTCCTCCATACCCCGTCATCCCTTCCAGCATAGAAGGTTATTTCTAACTACTCTTTCTTTTCGAATTTGAACAGTTTAGTTATTTAGTACATTATCTCGCAAAATTACCATCGTGTGATCCCAAGATAGGCCATTTTCATGCATTGTTGAGGGTGAGAGTAGAGAAAGGACCCACTTGATTTTCACTTATCGATTGATTGATAGTGGAGCACCTTAATCTTTAGAGATTCTTTAATCACGTTGATCTAATTCCCTTCTTGTGGGAACACTCGATTCTATCTTCGTCAATTCTCCTAGATTTCTTCCATCTGATGCGAGAGTCAGGTCTAGGTTGGTGGTCTAAGATAATTTAGTCTTTCACCATCTTGTCATGCATCAGTCGTCCCGCTATCCCTAGAGCCTGTATTTCTTATCTAGGAGGACGTTCTAGAGCTTTACATTACTGTGGAGGACTCTCTCCGGGGATTCCTCTTGCAGGTAGGTGAGGCCCATTGCCATCCCCACCGCGATGGTACACCTTTTCTCCCAGCCTAACATATTGGCACTGTTGGAGGCAAAGAGCAGCTTGTCGAGGGATCCATTATTCGGGTACTTGTAGACCAGTAGGTAGCGCTTGCCCTTGGTCCATAACCCCACACTCTCACCAGGTTCATGTGGTTTATCCTTCAGATGATGGTGACGTCTGCCTAGAACTCTGCCTCCAATTGTGTGACTCGGGTAAGCCCACGTAAATCATCCATGTACCCCGGAAGAAGCCGTCAACTCCATGGTGGGCTCAGCCTAGCCCACCTTTATCTACTCATGCTTTTCTTACAGAGAACGTGGACCATGATAAACCTATGCATGAGGTAACCATCAACCTGCTATCACCTACAAAAGAAAGGAAGGATGTATAAGAGAGGGTGAGGGGGGGGGATATTGGAAGGAGTTTGAGACAAAGCATCTCACAGGAGAAGGGTTTGTTGTCATTACTCTCTATGTCTCACATGTTCTCTTAGTCTCTTCTGCTATTCCCCGTCGAGTTTTAGAGTCTTGTGAGTTATTTATTCCCATTGTGTTTAGGTACCTGTCTCCACTGCCACGAGAGAGGAATAGTGCATTGTCGTCATGCATCATCATCAACTATTATAGCCATCTACTGTTCACCATTAATCTATTCCATCACAATCTCTCTCTCTCTCTCTCTCTCTCTCTCTCTCTCTTATTTCTCTATTCATTATTGTGGCAGCAGAGTTATCATCTCGAATTATTCTAATGTGCACCTCCCCAGGCAGCCGCTAGAATTATTTTAGCCGCTAGAATACTCCATTGGCGAACACCATTTGATATCAGAACGACTCTCTCCACGACACTATTTATATGGTGTTGAGAAAGATCTTGATTAGCTACACTAGTTCTACCAGGTTCCTGGCTTGAATCTCGTATGGAACAATAGCTTGGTGTCACAGAAGGGATCCTCTCTCAAATTCAACACACTCTTACTCAGCTGACTTCCATATGCATGACACTGATAGTCCTTCAACCTCAGGACCTCACCTCACACTTCAATGGCTCATGATGGGCCAGCAGCTAAGTTTGCAGCACAAGCTATTCGACTAGTGGAGCATGCCCATCCAAAGGCTTCCACTGACTCTTCCCTTGGCACTCACCATCTCAGAGCTCCTAGTTTGCACTGGACAAAACCCACAAGGTTGAGTTTTTTTTGAAGACATGTTCTCAATCCATCCATAAACTGAAGCTGAATTTTTTTTCATGGCAGGTATTAATTGGGATAATGAGGCATTACACTGATTTCAATGGGGTGGAGTGCCATGCTCCGTTCACCAACTAGCTCAATCTTCGCCAATGCTTGTTTATTCACTTTGGTTCTTCCTCTTAAGACAATCTTTATGAACAACACTCTAACATGCCACAAGTATATTCCATAGCCGAATATTGTCATGATTTTGAAATCACATATGGATCCTATTGATATTTTTCTTGATGGTCTCAAGAATATCTTTCTCTAGTGGTTAAACCTAAATATGGGTAAAAATCTGCCTTATAGTCATCATGTATTTTTATCAAATCATGTAAGTTGCTCAACACACTGAGGAACAAAATCTTCTCGAACAAGACAACATGGCCTTTGCCCCTCTCTAACTTAAGCTCCTCTATCGAGGTAGACCATCCTCTCTTTCTCTCAAAAGAATTGTAGAATTACCTTTGATGAATTAGGTTTAGAGGTTAAACATATCGTGGTGATGCAATTAAGTTCATGCAAATAATATTTATAAAACCTCACTCTT